ATTGTACTCTTGTTAAAATGTTGTTAATAGGAATACAGTTGGCAATTATAGAATTATAGAATGAATGCTATAATACCTTGTTAACGTTACTGCTTTCTGCTTTCATTATATATAAGATAAATGTAGTATTTTAAAATACCAGCGTATTAAAAAATATTATAATAAATATAGTGTATTTTATTGATTGCTTTCTTTATTGACATATTTAATTGCAAGACACAGCCTTTGTTATAGTATCTCCCAAGCAATATTTCTTTCCCCTTCCATTATCTTTTCCATAGTGTAATGTTGGTTTTGTCCTGTATAAAAGCTTTAGTAAATGTCAGATAATTACCTTTGTTCCTGTAAATCAATAAACTCATATCGACACAAATATTTTTATCATAAAAGTACAATTTATTTATTTTCCACACCTTGAAAAAGTCAATATTAATTTCAACAATTGCATACATTATAACATATTTATAAATTGTGAAATACTACAAAAAAAAAATAGAGAATCCAAGTACCACTTTCTTTTTTTCAGTAATACATTCAGTCGACTTGTCATTTAAAATGAAAATTATTTTTCTAGTTTGCTTTAAACTATTAGTTTAAATGCAATAAACTGTGGAGTGATATCTAAGTGATGTCTAATTATATATTATATCTACCTTGAAGTAAGTACTATGCATTAGAGTTTTGTTTTATAACCGTTACAATTATTAGTGTAGCATTTTTACTATGTTTTTTCTTTAGTTGTTGGTTGCGTATGTTTACTGCATCGCATTATACTATAATTATTGTATATAATATCACCAACTCACTCTATATCAAAACTGCAATACTATAAAAATCATTAGGTTACCGCAATTTATATTGCTTAGACGATACATTCTCTGTTTCACTAAACTACTTTCCTTAAAGTATTCAGTTTTTATGGTACTTACATTATTTTTTATGACAAGTACATATAAACTTAGTAAATTAATTACTATTTAGTTTTCATACAAGCGATGATTTATCGTCACAACGTAGATAATTTTATTAGACATTAAACTGCTTTCTTGTAAATTTATTATTATATTACTTTTTGTGCTCGTAAAAGTGTTAAATTTATTTGAAGGAGTAAAATTTGTAAAAATAATAACTAAATAATAGAGTTATATATATTTACTTTTTATGTGTGTAGGTAGCTTCTTTTAGGTTCTAATATTATCATTACAATTTAAGCTTCCAGCATTCCAATGCCATATATCTCATTATGATACTCTTGGGGTACAGATTTATCTAAACCTTTCCAACTACTTTTAATTATTTCACTACATTAGCTTATATGTATCTTCCACTATATATCAATACTTATTCCAACTACTTTTTATTATTTCACTATATTAGCTTATATATATCCTCTACATATATTAATACTCATTATAATACCATTGAGATATAGATTTATCTTAACCGTTCCAACTACTTCTTATTATTCCCCTATATCTTATATATATCTTCACTATACCACTTCTTATACTTATTCTTTGACTGCAGCCTATATCGATAATTGAAAAACTTCACTCCATCTTAACAGATGAAGAGAAATGAGCACTTGTAGGCAGACTAAACTCATAATACTGAAACCGCTGAAAACAGGGAAGCGATAAAAGTACTTAGCTATACGCGGAGCACCCTAAGCTGGCTGATCTCATTGATTACTGGATATGGAAGCTTCAAGTATCACCTAGAATAGATAACTCTTGTTGAGAAAGACAATTAAAGACTATGTCTAGAAGAAAAGGAGACAGTGGTGCATATATTGTACCAATGTCCAGGTGGGGATGACTGTCTTGGGATACCATTGGGTAGGTGATGACTTGGCAGGCAACCTCAAGCTAAATGAGCTGCTTGCAACAACAAGAGATGTAGTTATGCGAACGAAAACCACTCTAGCTTTAATTCAATAACGACATCCGAGAATTGAAGGACGAAAAAGGATCCAAGTCGTTTCGTAGTCTACTTTGGCTAATCCTTCATTTTAGTGAAGGTGTGGAAAGTGGAAATCTTTTAAGAAGTTAATTTTCTGCCTAAAGAAAACTACCCCACCCATAAGTTTACTGTGCGCAGTAGACTTACCTCTTTAAGGAGGTGTCAGTTCTTATTAACCATTTGATCTATATGTGGAAAGAGTGTCCTAAACTAACTCGGACAGTTTAAAGATTTTGGTAAAATTTAATATATATAGTAGTTCAAAATTTGACTTCATTCGATTCGATCAAAGAGATACTGAATTCGATTTCTTGCAATCACAGCGCTCAAACAGTTTTATATAGTATTATATACATATATATTGTACACTATAGAAATAAGTGTCAATATTCAATTACTGATAATATCACATTATTTGTTAGTACTTTCTATTAGTATTAAATTATAGTGAATAATTTTATAATGATAAAACCTTATTTGAATAAATTGACAAGTTAAATGTTTGATCAATAAAATTCGTTTATATTCTTGCTCAAGGACTTAAGAAGGAAAAACTATTAAATTTATAGATTTTATACAAAGAATAACTTCTGGAAAAGTTGTCGAAATTTATCAGTTTTTTTTGCAAAACATGAAATAAAAAAGTATTTCATAACTTAAAGAAAAATCATTCATAATGACTGTGATTATAATAATACAATAATGACAATTAATTTGTATCAGTTTTGAAATATGTGTTTAAATTTTAAAAATAAAATTAAGTCCGCGATTAATAAACAAAATCCGCTTTTCACCAGTTAAATGACTCCAACTGATAACCTTAGATTAGAGAAATGGTAGCATGAGTATTCGATTTCCAATTTTTGCTGCCTACTATCTGCTAATGCCTTGGTCGGCCTTATGCATACGAGTATATATGGTATTATAATTATCATTAATCGATTTCATTACAAAAAATCTGAGCAATCATTATATTGAAATGTTCTGGCGTAAATGTGATATATATAATTTCGTAATAATAAAGATTTTCATTTTTAAATAACAGAACAGTGACTTATTTTCTTCTTGACAACAAAGAACATTTTTGATGTACTCATTAAACAATAAGAATTTTAGCTCTCAGTTCTTTCAAGTAGGTATATATTTTTAGACTAAATTTGTCAAAATCAAGTTAATTTTTTTTTTGTTTTTTTTTAAATATAATGATTTTTACTGAGATAATTATTCTGGATTATGCAAACCTGTACATTAGTCAGTTTAATTTAAATCTGCTTATATGTATATGTATAATAACTTTTTGTATACAAATATACAAGAGTGTTGTATATTTTACTTTATATTAAATTAATTTTTAACGTCCATTTTAACGAAGAAAATTAAATTCTTAATATAAACTTATTCTTAATAAAATTGATCTCAATAAAGAAGTTTTATCGAACAGTAGAGAATTGCAACAACAAAAGTTTTTATTACTTTTAATTAAATGAATTTTTGGAATTAATGCTATAATTATTCATCATAATTACCCATCATCAGTCGTCTTGGAATTATTTTTTATATTTAATTATTCGTAAATAATTTATTGAGATTGCAAGAACCAAATATTGAACTCGTACCCTGCCAAATTTAAAGCTCAGAGTTAGTGTTCATTAGCCAACTGACCCAAAGTCGTACTTAACTTGTATGTTTAAACTGGAAGTTTTTAAAATCATAAACCACCTTTAGAATAATTGAAATAATTAATTATATTTTTATTTTTAATTGTTAAATTTTGCTTTAGATTCATGTTTATAGTATATATTATATTATGTATATAAAAATTTAACTATCGGATAAGGAACTTACTAATGTTCTGTTTTTTTGGTACTTTATTATACCCAATCTTCTTATTCCTACCACTTCCTACTTAATAGATACAGTTCTATTGTGTGAGTTGTTAGATTAGTATATAACACATGTTAATATATGCTATATAAATATATATCAAAGAACTCATATATTTGTATTCCTCAACATAGTCTTCCTTTAGTTTGATGCATTTAGTATCATATATTTTCATAAGAAAATCATTGTAATCAACAACTTTGAAGACCTCAAAAACTATATAAAATGCAGTACAAATAAAAAATATTAATAATAATAAAAACTTTACTAAAAAAAATTTTTATTAAACCAACAAATACTAAAACTCAAAAAACAATTATTTTTCAATTTGAAATTTTCATTATAACCTCAGAGTCTTTAAGGCATATGGGTCTTTGACCCGATTTGCAAATGAGTCACATTTATTTAAAGAAGTACTTGCTTGTGTAAATCAACACTTAGGTATTTTTAAGTGTCGATTTTAACCTGGTAAAATGCGTTATACCGAGAAGTCGAGCGAGCTTGAATTGATAATAATATACAGAATACAGACCATAGATCAACATATGTTAAGAGTTGATTTACAAGTTAGTAGCCGAAAAGAGAGGATCAAAGAAAATGGACGTTCAAATTAATGTGCAATAGATCGAAGACGTTTTCGATATAATTGAAATGAATAAATGAGGAACTGTTAAAATTGAACAAATATAAAAAAAATTCAGTTTAAAAAAATTGTTTTGCCCTCTTCTCTCAGTCTAGGTTCCTCTCTATATCTATATGGAGAACATGGTAGTCTTAGTAGTATCCAACCCCAACAAACAACGTCAGACGATTGATTTATTTATTGCGTACAAAAATATGTTGTTGAAAATGCTTTACTATCATCGTCAGCAATATCAGATCCGTTCCTTAGCCAGCATCTGTGTTGGCAATGACAGCAGAAAATTTTTTTGGCAACATTTTAATTTGTTGTGGCGTCCGTTTTTATTTTTAGTATCTTGATAATATTCATTGAAAATGTTTAATTTAACTTTTTCAATTTTTCTTGAGTGACTTGCGTAATTTACTGTGTTTAGATAATATTTTTCATTACATACAATTAACATTATGATTTTATTTCTCTGATAATTGCAATATATTGCACTATAATTAAATTAATTAATTTTTTATTTCAGAACTGCTGGCACAGTTAGTGCTATCGTAACATGTCCACTGGAAGTTGTAAAAACACGTTTGCAGAGTTCGACAGCTTTTCTAACACCTCCTCGCGGTAGTGATCCGCCAGGTTCATCGAATGGATCCTCCGATATGCTTAGACCCGAACAACGTCGTAAGCTGAGTACAACAATATTACGAAATAGATCGCAGCCACAGGTGATTGGGGGTGTTCGTAGGGTAGTACCAATTTTATAATATTTTTGGATTATATCGTAAAAAATTCTAAATTTTATTTTCTTTATATAAACTAAACTTAACTATCTTGAAGAGCTTTAATATTTTATAAAACTGAAAGCATAATTTCATTACCATTTAAGCTTTTATTGATTAATTCTTTTTAGAATATCTTTGAACTTCATATATATTTGTATATATTCTTACTTTTTACATCTAGAAGCTTTTATGTCATTCATCAAAATTTTTATATTTTCTTATACAGCATAGAATTTCATTAACCTAGTTTTACATAGAAACTGTCCTGACAAGATCTCTATATTAATAGGTATTAGAAAAAGATTATAGATGTGAACTTCATTAACAGGGATACAACTTCATATATATTTGTATATATTCTCAGTTATGTATATCACATTTAGAAGCTTTCATCTCATTCATTAAAATTTTTATTTTTCCCTCTATAGCATAGAATTTCAATAATTTAAATTTATATTGAAATTGTCCTGATAAGACCTCTTTACTTATAGATTTTTTTCATTAGAAAATTATTTCTTAATTAGAAAATTATTATAAATTAAATTAGAAAAATTATATTTCTTAAAATACATTTTTAAAATATAATATATATTTGTTAATATAGAAAAACAAAATAAGTAACTTGCTTATAGAAGACTGATATATTAGATTTTGTACCCGTGTTGTACTATGAGGTAGTATAATAGAATAATAAATCTATATATATACTACTTGAATAGCAATAATAAAAATATGTTATTATTTTTCCTTACTTTTTTTAATTAATATTTTTATACATATCTATAAGATATTTTAATACTAGAATGCAGCATTTAGATTTTTAAAATAAACATGCACTATATTATTCATTTTCTTCTTCAGAATACTCATGCATATTAATAACTATTATTAACGGTCTTTTTCAAAATGATTTTATGAATTATATACTAATGTTCCTGTAAGATAATCAAATAACTCCAATATTCCAAAATCCTTTTCGATGCTTTAATACTTTATAGTTTTCGAGCAGTAAAACTATAAAGTTTTTAAGTAAAATTATGGAAAAATTTCACAAAAGATTTTTATTGCAAAGAATCTATTTTTGAGGACATTAATAGTTTTAAAAAAAAGCACTATCTAAAATAATTTCTTCTTTAAAGTTAAAACAAAAACTCTGTCAAAATACAATAATACGTTAGTAATTGAACCTGGTCTTTACAAGTATCATTTGATATCATTTTTTTAATAGAACAAATGAAATTTTTTATAGAATTGCATTTCTGAAGATCGAAGAAATATGCATCATTTCGATCATTAGTTTCTTGTGAGCTCCAAACAATTATTTTTATGTTGAAAGATCTTGTATAGCGACCTTAAAAAATTCCCTTAATGGATTCAAAGTACAATTTTTCCAATATCAGTACTCTCTATTACTAGATGATCTCTCAAGTATTTCTCTCATTTGTGTTCATTCTTCTGCAAAATTACAAATTTTAATACATTGAAATCCCGGTTTCGTGATAATTTAGGTGCTAATTTATTCTATAGTGCCCTGCTAATTAGTCCTTAAAGCGATTTAAGTTAAGAATCTTAACAAGCGGTGTGTACTGGAATAGATTCCCAATTGTTTAAACAAAATCTGCTATATTTCTATTTTTTCGAAGTCACAATATGCAAGTAGTTAATCTGAATAAAAGTCTAGGTACGAACTGGAATATATATTATATATATAGATATGTGTAATTAATTAATTAATATGTTAATAATATATATTATTAATATTATACATATATATTAATAATATAATATGTGTATTAATAATATTATATATATATATATATATATATTAATAATATTAATATATTAATTAATAATAATATTAATATATAATTTAGATTTATTTTTACTTTGACAGAGACAAAAAGACTTATGTGGCTCATGGTTTATAAGCCGTAAGATTATGTATTTTCTATTAAAATTCTTTAATAAACCAATATTTAATTATTTATGATCAAAGTTATAAGTATTATGTTATATTGGGCTAATTGCTCAATTGCTCAAATTAGAGTCCGTAGGTAGCTCCATAACTAAATATACAAAATGTGTGATTTTTATTCATTATATGTAAAGTATAATTTTGACAATAACTAAACATCTGCAGAACTATATTTTAATAATATTTTTTATATGATGTGGTTGTCTCTGTTTTCCAATTCTATTGTAGTTGTTTATACTTTATCATCAGTGAAATTATAAATGGTGTAATCAAAAAGTAACAAGAATCTTAGACGCGCTGCATCTTGTTTGGAGAGTTGATTTTTTTTGGGTATTGGTTGCACTGTCAATAGTGCTAATGTCCCATGCAGAACAAAAAAACACCATGGGTGCGATCAAAGGTGTCTCAGTACTAGTCGTAAAAACTGACCAAAATAAATTTTCGAAGTAGTAAGCTGTAAGCGAACTTAGTTTGACTTTTTTGTTTAATTTTGAGCTGAAATTTAGTTTAAGTTTATTAAGCGAATGAGCTTGAATATATCAATTAGCGTGTTATTAGTCAAAACAAATAATATCTTTGGTGACAATTCTATGTCACAACCACGAGTTTATGAAGAAAGTATGCAAGACAAATATACATATTGTAGTTGTTAATAAAAGCATCGCCATTATAGAGATTCAAGAAGATATTGGAATATTATACAACCAATTCCAAAGTGATTTTGAGAAATGTTACGGGCAAGATATGAATGGCAGCAAAATTCGTTTTGAAAACTTGTTACTTATTCAATAGTTTGTGGAGAGATCCGTAACTTAACTGACATAACTACCCTCATCATCACTCTGTGACTTCTATTCATTTCCAAACTCAAAAAGATAAAATATTATAGGCGCATAAAAAATAAATATTAGAGATTTTCGTTACTTTTTGATCACGCATCGTATGTACATGGAGTTTATCATACAGAAATATATTAATTAAATAAATTACATATTCAGGGTCTTTCATGAAGTTAAAATAAATTTTATGACATTAATTCTATTCTAACAACTTCTATACTAATATTCTGAACAATTAATTGCCTCTTAAAAATTTAGACAATCTTGAAAAACATATATATTAACATACACTCTACACCTGCTTTTCTATAAATAAAGAAATTAGGTAATATATTGCAATAATATTTGATGTAGAAAATTGGTTTTAACTATATATATGGGTTAATTTTTTGTATAAATTATTATACCTTTTTGACACAATACATGTACATATATTATACGTAATTTTTATAATATATAAATTATTCCAAATCCAAAAATCATTTCAGCCAGTGCTGTTTTCCAATGTAAAATAAATCTACTAAGCCGAAGATCCTGACAGGCAACGTTTTTCATACAAATATAGAGTAGCGATGTAATACAATTGTTACTTTAAAAACCTTCCTGATATTTTCGCTTATACTCATATAATTTAGTATTGATTTTTCAGACCATTTATACCAATGTTAATAATAGAAATTTATTAAATTTAAGAAAGGAGATAAGACTTAAATGGGTAAATATATTTCTTCATACTACCATTATTTCTGCAATTAATTATATTGTTATATATTGTTTTTGGTTATCAACCTTTGATTAATAGTTTACTTAAACGTTTTTCAGATAATGGCCATTTCACATTGTGGTATCTCATCTACTTCGACGAAATCCATGAGCATCATACAGTGTTTAAGGTAATAAATAAAAAACCATAAACCATTTGCCGTAGCTTTAATATCCCTCAAACGGATTTATTTAGTATATATATATATATACAAATTTAGTTTAAACAACTTATATATGTATAACATATATATGTATATATATATATGTTTGACTTTTATTAAAAATATTAAGTGTAATTAATCCACAACTGTACACCTACAATTTTTAGTATCATAGGATTTAAAAATTCATTACTAAATATACTATAATATTCTTCATACAAGAACGTATGTCTTAACTTATACTTATATATTTTTAACATACACTCAGATATTAGCTTAGATTAATCTGCCTAGCTGTAAGCCGAATTATAATAGAACACATAGATCTATCGTTCTCTAGCGATGCTAGATATGGCAAGACCTTTATGTAAATATCAACTGAACATCTATTCAATTTTAACAAACTAATTTTATTAATAACAAAAAATTTTTTTTTATATATAAAATTATATCTTAAAATTTTTTCATATAGAGGTTTCGAACAGTAGTGAACTACAACAACAAACATTTTTTATTATTTCAATTCATTTAATTTTTGGCTGATCTTACAGCTGTTTCGGCCTAGGACGACTCACGTCTGTAATGGCCAACTAAGTAAAAAAGTTACTAAGTATATAGTATTGTCAAATACCCATCATCAATGGTCCTGGAAATATTTTTTATATTTAATTATTCGTAAATAATTTTTAAAACTACAAGTACTAAATGTTAAACTTGTACCCTGCCAAATTTGAAGCTCAGAGTCAATTCTTGGAACTTGCAGTTTTAAAAAATTATTAGCGAATAATCAAATAGAATTAATTCTAAAACCCTGTATGGTCAGCAAAAAATTGAATTGATTGAAATAAGAATTTTTTGTTGTTGTGATTCACTATTGTTCGAAAAATCTCTATTAAATAAAATCGTTTCTATTAAGCAAAATAGTTACTGCTGTTATAAACACTGAAGTGATTTACGAAGTAGACGGCAATATATGTGTAAATATTTTTTTAAAACTATATAAAAAATTTTTACACAAATTATTGAGTTTTGCTTTTAACCAACCTTAAGCCCGGTAAAAATAAAATTTACTAATAAAAAAAATAAATTTACTTTATAGTTCACTTTATATAACATATATGGAATACTGTGATTTGATTGTCATAATTTCTATAAATGTTGGCTCACAAAAAGCTCATATCAAAATTATTATTATTTACCTCAGTAACTGTAAGACTAGTTTGCATTAAAACATACAGACAAACAGGTATAAATCGCTCGATCGGTTCATTCTGTCCAACTGATCAAGCATGTATAAATTATGGAGTCTCAAAACTTTCTGTCCCTGCATTGCAAGCATTTTGGCAAATTTCCACACAGTTTGAAAAAGTTGTAAAAGTATTTATATATATTTTTTTTATATTTGTAGACATATAGTACAAAATGAAGGACCGCGTGCACTCTTCAAAGGTCTAGGACCGAATCTCGTTGGTGTGGCACCATCACGTGCTATATACTTTTGCACCTATTCACAAACAAAAAATATGTTAAACTCTCTGGAGTAAGTCGAAATTATTGTATATATCATTAATATTATTTAAATTAATCTGTTTTTCTATATTTCTTCTAGTCTTATACGATCAGACTCACCTCAAGTACACATCATAAGTGCTGCTAGTGCTGGTTTCGTTTCGTCTTCTATCACTAATCCAATTTGGTTTGTTAAGACACGTTTACAATTAGACTACAATTCCAAAGTTCAAATGACTGTTCGACAATGTATCGAACGTGTTTACGCACAAGGCGGTATACGCGCATTCTATAAGGGTATCACCGCTAGTTATTTTGGTATATGTGAAACTATGGTGCATTTCGTTATATACGAGTATATTAAATCGAAACTGGTATAGCACTAATGTAATTTCATAATGTTCTATAATCTTGTTAAATATGCACTTTTCCAGATTGAGGCCCGGAAGCAGCGTAAAAACGACGCAAAATCATCACGGGATTTTGTTGAATTTATGATGGCTGGTGCCGTTTCAAAGACTGTAGCTTCTTGTATTGCATATCCACATGAAGTAGCACGTACAAGATTGCGTGAGGAAGGAAATAAATATAATCGTTTTTGGCAAACATTACACACTGTTTGGAAGGAGGAAGGACGAGCTGGACTCTATAGGTTTGTTTTTCAAATTCTTTAGTAAATTTGTATATTTTTTTAAATTTAATTTGAAACTAATTTGAAATGAATATATTTTTTTTATTTTATCGTTTTAAGTTATTAATATTATTATTGTTATAATAATAAAACTTATAATAATCATAACCCCACCAAGCAAGCATGCAGACATGTTTTAATATCTTAGTTAATTTGAAAAATCTATTTATTTGGATTATAGCGTTTTTCTTAGAATCTTATCTCAAAACAAAATTGTAAAATACTGATAAGGTTTTATTAAAATATTTCTGTCTGGTTTATAAGTTTACCGCTAAAAATAGTAAATCAGTAAAGCAAGTCTAATCTCATTACTATTTTTGGTTTACAGATTATTGTAATAAACTGTATTAATACTTCTAAAATATTATCTGAAACAATAAATGAATAAGCAATAGGTTTTATTACGTTTTGTGATGATTTGATTAATTTGGGTAATTAAAGACGTACTTTGTTTAAAAGTTTTTTTTTTAAACAACTTTATTATATTTCATTCCTTATTTTCAATTATTACGCTAAATCGTTCTCTATTTCCTATCAACATAACTTTTAACTTTGCGATTGTATATTTATTGTAAATTAGGCATGCTTGAATTATAATAGGGTTGGTTTTACAGTACAAACACAAAGACAACAGTCTTCGATAACATCTAAAGATAAAGATAACATCTATACATCACATATATATTATCTTTATCTTTAGATGTTATTGAAGACTGTTGTCTTTGTGTTTGTAGATTTTATCTTTGTTTTCAAGTCCTCTAACAATCAAAGGTATTTGATTTGATTTTTACGATTTCTCTTCTTAACTATTCTGTGATACTATTCTCTTCATAGTTTATCTTGTGGTACTACCACGGGTCATTATATGAGCTCAAGTGATGTGTTTTGGATACAAGACCACCACTCCAACCTAACTTAACCTCCTTGATTAAAGAAATTAGTTTATTTTAAACTTTGTTTCGGGATTATCAAGTCATTCTTTAAATATAAACGTGGACTTACAGCCCTCCACATAGATGGAATATCCTCTTGGGATCAAGGTTGAGTCACAACAAGGTTTTCAATACGCCCCTGCCTAACATCTCCTAGGAAAAACGACGTTTCCACCATGCAGCAAGAACTGTCCTAGCTCAATAGAGACCAAGTTCTTGTCACGCATAAACAAGAATATTCTTAATGTGTGTTCAAATATAGTATAGAAGTCGAAATAGCTAAAATTCATGAATTCGAATACATTTCATGTAAGCAACAAAAAACTACTTTTGCCAAAACTAGTTTAATTTATTTTAAATATTTAAGCCTAAATTTTTATCCAACTTTTATATATATTTATTTCGTTAACGAAAATGCCAATTTATGCTTAAATTTGACACAATCATCGCAAATTTTGTGAAAACAATAAGTAACTTCCGCCCATATTGTATGCCCTATGACCTGTGGTTTCCAGAAAAAAATCTAGTGTCTTCATATTTTTAGGTTTATCAATAACTTTTTTAGGATACTCTTTCGAAGGATCTGTTTCTATAATTTGTTTGTGAGGGTGGTGAACGGTATTTGGCTGAAGAGTGGTTGAGGAGTAGCTCCGGGATCTAGTCTCGGCCGTTCTTAGAACTGCATAATACATCTTATAGATCATAGTGTATCATCACCCATACTTATAATAATAATAATAATAATAACAATCATATATTTTAGCTTAAATTTAATTCAGTTAAATATAATAATAATATTGTATTAATAATATTAATTATTTTTATATCATAGGGGCTTGGCCACACAACTTGTACGGCAAATACCGAATACCGCAATCATGATGGCAACATATGAAGCTGTTGTTTACGTATTAACACGTCGGTTTAATAACAAAGGCAACGAGTTCTACGACTTTTAGAAAATAATTATTTGATATATCATTTAATTGCCTAAACAATCAGCGTGCTAAAATATTAATATATATATAGTTTTAAGTAACAAAGTCAATGAGCGCAAGTTTTTTTTAGTATGAAAAGCGAACAGTTTACAAGAAAATCCAAAATTAATAATATAATTTTTAAATTTTAAGCAATATTAATTCTAAAAATTTTCCATTTTATTCATTTAAAACTTTTTTTTATATTACAAATATTTTTGTACTCTTATAATTATTTAAATTTATTATTAAATTTTTAAAGTAGTGCAAATAAAAACAACAAAACTGAATAAATTAAAACCAAAACGGAAATCAACTTTTTAAAATCTCAAGAGCTTATATTTAGTTTAAAAAAATTAAAATTTTATAATTAAGTATGTGGATTATTTACAAAATCAAAAAATGAATAATTTTAAATTATGAAAATGTAATTACACAAACAACAATCATATTACAATCCATATATTTGACTATAGCATTATATTATCTTAAATACATGTAACGTAACATCACCAGCAATGTATTAAAGCCTTAAGTGACTTACTCGTTATTATCATAATAGTTATAACAAAATAATTTTTTGTAAGAACTTATTCTTATTGTTAATTGTTGAAATGTTATATTGGAACGCACAAAAAACACTTACACATATAGTCACTTGTTATACAAGGACCTATATATATATATATATATATATATGTATGTATGTACGTATAGGTAAAGGCAAAACTTAATGCTTAAGTTAATTTTGGTTTTTGCGCAAATGAACTATATAAATATGTATGTTCATTAAACTAATGTATATTTATGCACTACTATTAAATAAAACTATAAATTCAGTTTACCAAATTTATTCAAAGATATGCAGTACAATTTAAAATTTATATTTGTTCTAAACCTAATACTTGTTTAACTTATTAGTTTTTCTTTTATATATATAAATATATATATACACTAATAAATATATAAACAATTTTTGTATTACTATTTTTATATTAATTTAAAAGCTTAATTACACAACACAGTACTGCAAGACAAAATAAATTAATATTAATACAGTTCTTTTTAAAAAAAATTGCTGCTCATATAATTTATGTGATCTTATTTAGACCTATAGGATGCTTATAGATCTAAATTTAAAACCCAAATTGTCCTTATTATATATTATTAAACAAAATAAATTATTTAAGCTAATAACGAGCAACAAAGAATATAAAATACAAAACAAATATATATATATATTGTTAAAAATAAAATTTAAAAATATTATTTATTTATACATTATAAATGCATATATACAAATATATATGATCGTATAAATAGTTTGTTGATTTAACTTCTTAATTAAACTAGTTATAATGGTTTTTGTATTAAAAATTATTTTACTTTTGTTGTAATTGTATACAAAAAAAAAAAAAAAATCAACAGTAAATGAATACGAAGCGTGAATGAAGAATATGTCAAATAGCACCAAAAGTATTTCAAAATTATAATAATATTTTAGTTTTATTGTTGAGCGATTTATATTGCAAATTAAAAATTTATTTATGTAAAGTGTGGTTTTTAATATATAAACAAATCTTTGTATGAATTATATACAATTAATGTAAAGTATAAAATAGTATAAATAATAGTAGTTTTATAAGTATAAAATCGTGGTTTTATAAATAAAAAATCGTGGTTTTATAAATATAAAACTAGTATGAATTCGTAGCTGAAAAAATATATCAAAGATAATTACATGTGGGAGCGTATATCATTAAATATTATTTTGCAACATTGCAACATTTTATTACAATTATTATTAATTTAGTATTTATTTTATTTATAACCTTAATTAAAACAAAAATTAATTTCATTAGTATATAGGATATTGCTTATTAAAATATATGCAATAATGTGATCTTTAAAAAATAACTATTACACCATTGATCTAGGAATTCCAGTTTATTTAAAAACTAAATTTGATTATGGTTTATAACAAAACTTTTCAAAATCTTTTAGAAATTCTTTTGACATATTCTTTAGGTTTTCGTTTTTATTAACTGAAAAAAAATTCATTTTTAAGTTGTATATTATAAATTAAATTAAAACGATTGTTAGTTTAACTATTATTTCATAATCGTATAATTATTTTTCTGTAAAAAAAATAAATAAAATAAAATAAAATTTTATATGTATATTATATATATATAATAATATAATACATATATTAAATATATATATATATATAAATAATATATATATATATATTTATATATAGTATATATATATATAATACATATATATATGTATATTGAATTAAAAAACAAAACAAATACATTATTAAAATAAAATATGTTTATAGCCATAGAGTGTTTGTAATGCAGTTTATAAAAAATATACAAATTTTAATATTTATATAAATTATATTTAGTTAATAGTTTTAATATAAAATTTTTTGTGGAAGTCAAGAAACTTTGGAAGCTTTAATGTTGATTGTTAATATTTGAAATAATTATGTTATTTGCCTTTAAATTTTACAATTCTAAGCAAATAAAAACAAAATTGTAGAATTCATAAAAAGAATGCACCATGTACATCTTTTAAATAACTATGAAAATAATTTCATTATAGTATTTTAATAACATTATTTTAAAGTAAATTTAAATAGTTTTTCTTTAATTTTTAAAAATAATGAAAGACTTGTGTTTGTTACTATATTAATTTTTTTTGTTGCCCTAAATAAATCTGATTTTAAAATTCAAAAATGAATATTAAACAATATTTTACTTGTTTAATACATCTAAACTAATTGATACCCTATATTGTTATAAGCTTTAATAACTGCATTATAAACATATTTTTAATAAGAAAAAAACAAAACCAACGAATTAAATATTTTTAAAATATTCACGTTAAAATAAGTATATATATATATATATATATATATATATTTAAAAACGAATTGGTATAACAAATTTAAAAGGCTGCTATTACTAAATTAAACTAGTTTATACAAGTTTGTAAATTAAATATAATATATAAAATTATAAAAAAAATTACTTTTTAAATTAAATAAAATGTTAAATTAATCAGTGAATAGTTTTTCGAGTTAGTTAAAGCACTTTTCGAAACTTTTGTGCGACTCTAAATAAAATCTGTTGACGATTAATCTGCAGTCAAAATATTTATTATAGTTTATAACCGATAAAATGTAGCATATATAAATTTTTGAAACATTTTTGTTTATATTTTCCAATTATTTATATATTAATTTACAATTGCGATATAAAACTTAGTTTAAGTATTTTGCTTTATTTTGAAGAAATAAAAATGAAAATAAAAAATCTTTAGTATTTATTAATTTGTTTTGTCATTAGTTCTGAATCGAAATTACTTGACAAGATGTTGGTATAGTTTCTTTTGAGAGTGGTGAACGGCACTTGGTTGACGAAATAGACGACTAGCTTCAAGACGTAGGCCTAACCGTTTCTGGAACCCTTTTCACACTTCCTTTACCCAACCATATTGTTACCCATGTATTTATATTTGTTATTGTTTTTGTGTTATCTATGTGATTGTATCTATCGGCTATTACAACAACAAACAATATGTACCATTTCAATTTATACCATTTCAATTTATACCATTTCATTTGAAAAATTTGGCTTTTTTTATCTTACTTAATTGCAATGATTTCTTACTTTATTGTGTTTTAAAGGTAAGGATTTGAATTTATTTATTGCATTTATGACGCATGATTTTTCAATAATATTCCAGTATATTGATTTGTCCATAGGTTTTCGAATTTTTTTGATACTGGCCAGCGAAAAAGACATGATTGTCTATCAAAATATTTAAATTTACTATTATATTCAATAAAAATAATAATATATTAATTGAAATGTTGTTGTTGTAAGCCACTTGAGTATCCTGCTTTTTGAGTCCCAATTAGATAAGCGATATTTGGTTGTCTATAAGGACGTGTGGCTCCGAGTGGATCTTGATCTGACAGTAACCAGAGTGTTTTGATTAATAATTTTAATAACTTTAATAAAACTGTACAACAAAAATGTAGTATATTTTCTCTTTCTTGAATTTTTAATGGCTTTTTGTTAATTTGAATCTGCTGAGCTCAAATTTGAGACTTGTTTTTCTTCTAGACATCTGCATCTTTGTCAGTAATGAGTTAAAGCGATTTAAAAGAAACGGATTTCGTATTTTCAGTAAACTTGCTCAGGATTTTTCAGATACTTCTTAAAACGATTTTTCTTCTATAGGTTGATTTTAAGAAACATCTCACCTCGAGAGTGAAGAAAGAAAATTTAAGCAACAATATCTGCTTGTTGCTGTACTTTACCTTTCCCCGCTAAACTTGTTTATCAAGGTTGTACAATTCACCTGCAGACTAAGGCAAGGATTTTTTTAATATCACCATCCAAATTTAAATTTGAAAGATTTGACGAAGACCTCACTCATACTTTTAGATGTACTGATAATACAGTTTGGACGTACTCTCAATATTTTAATTTTAAAATGATAGAATTTTGTAACATCTGATTATATTTCACAAATTATATCTATTAAATATCTATTAAGTAATAAAATATTTATATTAATTAATGTAAAATGGCGTGTCTTCTAATTGATATTTCTTGCTGGTAATAAATGTTTAAATAAGACATAGATTTTTATGCAAAAAAATATAGAAATTTATTAAATTATTAAAAATATTACAACTTCCGTGGTGGAATGAGTTTCACCGAAGAGGGCGTGTTTTAGTTCGTATACTACATATTAATGTTAGGAAGTCGGATAGATCATTCTAACGACAGTCGGTCTCACGGTTGTTATTAATCATTTTAATTAAATTGTTTTTTGTTTTAAATCAGGAAAGAACAGCAATGTGTCGGGTGATTTGGAAGGGGCACCAATCGACTGAAAGTACTACATGTTAAAAAGATTTCTGGGCAATTTTCGTGTACATGCCCATTATTAGAAAAAAAGCAAATGTTGATTTTAAATTTTATTTAATAATATTTACTGATCGTACTAACCAAAGTCCAGCATTTCTTCTGTTTCATAGCAATTATTGTGGAAAGTATTGTTATTTGCTTTATTTGAAATATCTTTTTCCGGTGCATTACACGATATTTACGGTTTTTAAATATTACTTTGTTTCTATTGTTGATCATTTCACATACATTATAGGTCTGTACCATGAGCTACTCGTAGTAACTTTGATTAACACCGTGTACACACAAGTGCGTTCCACCAGCAAATTTTCGAGTAAATGAGAGCATCTGAGAGAGTGTAACATCCCTGTCGAAAATTGAAAATGCTACACTGACTTTATTTATATGTACATTTTATTTCAAGTAAAATTTGTGTTAATGTGTGAATCAGCTGTTTTGGTTTGAATTTATTGGAGCGTCACTGGTGTTCTCACCAGCTTTTCCGTAAAAATCTGTGTAAAGAGCGTAATTTGACACTTTATTTGTGTTACGCTCTCAGTTTGTACTTTACTTGTGTTTAACTTAAGTTTTACTACGAGTATCTCCTGGAACAGACCAATTATATGAAATATTTTTCAAATTTTCCGCGGTTTCCATTTTAGAAGACTTATTCCACACAATACCGAGATTTTTCCTTGTATTTTGTTTGTAAACAAAATAAAGTTCTTAAATAGTTTTTTTGACATTTAAAAGTTCCATCATCTACATAAATGAGCTCATCATAATGTGAACGTTTCCTTATTAATATAAATGAGCAAATGCCTAAGTGAAACAGTGTGAATAGACTTTGCAAGAGTTTTAATTAGATTTTCTGAGTTGCCATAATGACTAATAAAATCTTGTTATTTTGTTAACGCTTGGCAGCACTGTAACGTGGTAATTGTTTTTATTCATTATTTCTTTTGCTCACTACGTTTGCTCTCTCAAGTCGTGTCAACAGATAGAACGATCCGTACAACTTTTTGTTTATGTTTGTGTATTTTGCATTGTTATTTAAATTAAAAATATTTTATTGAATTCCTTTCATCTTTTGGGTTAAAAAATTAGCATAACACGTCAATTACTAACGGCGAGGAGCAAAAAAAAGTTTCTTCAATGCGCAGTCGTAACTGCGCCCAATAACAAAACAGTGTACAAAAAGTTAATTCAACTCATGAAAAATGGACTAAGTGACAGCTTCGTTTGTGACAATAAAACGTAACTTTAATTGCGAAATAAGTGAAATTTTAGTGAAAAATTGGTGTTTGTAAGATATTTGCAAAAATTTAATAATATAAAATATGCACAGCGAAGAAAATTGAAACCGTATACAAACCAAATAAAAAAGTGCAGGCTTTCTTAGATTGAAATTTCTTGAAAACGGTGCTCAGCAATGCTCACACTGCTCAGTGAATGCCACTTTTGGACGTTACGTGATGAGGTGCGCATCAAACCGACGGACTATGGTGCATTTCGCTATATGACTAGTCGGGAATTTCAGCAAAGTGGTGCACATGACCTAGCGGCCATAGCTAAACGTGACTACACGGAACGACGCAATGGCATTGCCGTGCTAAAGAATAATCGCAAAAGCAACGGGAGACTTAAGGATAACATTAAGAAATTATGCGAAATGCTGCGTTCGCAACGTATCGTCTACTCCCAATGGAAGGATGCCGCGCAAGTGCTGCTCCTATTTGCCAATGGCCTTATTGCGCATATATGCGTAGACATTTACACCGGTGATATATTACGTATGGTCTTTGAAAAGTACTTCGTTGGTAAATTGGCAGCGGAGGTTATTACCGATGGTAGGTGCCGTTGCAACTTGATTTCTATGGTCGTTTGTTTGTGGTAAACATGCTGGCTTTCTGTTACATTGCAATTAATTTGCATTTGCCATTGCAGTTTGTACGTGCGCAAATGCTTAGCCAAGCGCTTGTTCCCACAATTTTATATGCAATTAATTTTCTTTTTGCCTTGTTATAATAATTTCCTACAATTTAATTAATATGCTTGCTTTTTGTTGTTGTATCGTTGTTGTTGTTATAATTGTTGTTGTTGTTTTTTGCTTTCGCAGCTTTTTTTACGCGTTCACATATCGTGCTAGCGTACAATACGAACCAGTTGACAGTTGTATATTTACAGAAGCCAAATATGCGTCCACAAGGCCCAGAGAAAATCTCGAATATGGATCCGCGCATATTTCATGTTATAATACCAGGTCCAGGTGAACGTAAACTTTCCCGTCACTTGTCTGTGAACAGTAGTTATGATTTGTTTGTGATATGGACGAAATCATCACAAAATGAAGTATACCCTTGGCGGCCGACCATAAGAGATCAGGATCGTGCGAACATACATGTATTCAAACTAAAAGAGTAAGTTCACGTGCTATGAAAATATATAAAAAATCTGTGGAATTAATTTTATTAAAAATGTAAAATTGTTTTATATATTTGTAGTGCGCAGCTCGAATCGATTTCCTACTGTTGGTCTGAAAATGATCCACTTTGTGTTGATTTTTTACGTTCATCCGAAAGCCAAATATTAACTGTTGAACAAAAGGTATCGCGTAAGGGAGAGATTTTTGCAGAAATTTGCTCTTACGAGATAACACCAGGGAAAATGCAAAGAACTGCTCTAACATCAATAACAATGGGCACAGAAATTTGTTGTTTTGCGTTCAGTCCAGATCAAGAAAAACTGTTCTTAGGCACTATAGATCGTAATATATGTCTGCATGATTTGGTGCTGCAAAGTACAAAATATGTAGCGCAAATTGAAATAGTAAGTTTAATTTCACTTTTAGTTATTAAACACATTTTATAAAAATATTATGTTTTATTTAGATACCAACTCAGTGTACTTGGCACAGTGACTCCAGTATTATCATGACTGCAAATGATCGTGCACAGTTTCAGTGTTTTGATTTAGCTTTAACACCAATTGGCAATCAGTTACAGAGTGAAGATGTTACGCCATCCAATCTGCTTGACTTGTCGCATTATTTCACAGTACAACCAACACTTTTGGAAATATCTTTTAGTCCAAAACCTGATTTAGCAAATTTTACTCATACTTTTGCACAAACCGATTGCTTTCTTTTGTTCACATTTGACAATGGTCCTATTGGCTGTTTACGATTTTTTTCGGGCGCTGGAATGCGTGGTGATATACACAACTCTGGGCTTACGGCAGATGTTATTGTTGATAAGTATTTAGCCTTAAATCAGCTTGAAAAGGCAGTTAATCTCTTAGTGGCACTGAATTGGGAAACTTATGGTGCCATGTGTCTCATTTCGTTACATAAAATTTCGAATTATGTATTTTATCGAAGCGACGTGAAACGAGCGCGTATTGAATTATTGGCCAAAGCTTTAAAAACCTTTTCCGACACTTTGTCAGAAGAAACAAAAGATGAGTTCAGCGATCAAGTTTTTGATTTAAAAAGGCGTTTCTTCTTTTATTTATTAAGGTAAATATAAACACTTATAAACTTTGACTTAAGTACAGTAAATTCTTCAAAAATGTTTAAACATCATAATGTATTTAAGCATTTGTTAATATAGTGTTGTGTTTTTTTATTCCTTGTATTGAGCTGTGCCCGACATTTAACACTTTAAAAAGATCGTAGCTTTGGGATCTGACAGCAAACGTTTTTAGTGCCTACGTGTAATTTAATAATACTAAATGGTTTTTAATCTTTTCCATTGCTTACACATATAATTTAATTTATTCTTTATATTTCAGGCAAAATCTGTTTACAGATGCATTTGAAGTAGCACAGGATATTGATGATTATGATTTATTTATGGATCTTTTCAATATAACGAAACAAAATACAAATATGTCCGAATTTTCTGCAACATGCCTTACACAAGCTGCAGTTATTTTACATGAAGAAGATCGTGCTAATGGAAACTTAAGTATGATGGGTGATTCTCGCTCGGAATCAGCATGTTCATTGTCAACTGTTTCAGATATACCAACAACAATTAACCATAGCAACAGAACATTGCAGACACCACATGCACATAATCAACAAAGTAGTGCATTGCAAAATTACGTGCCACCATTACCTTCACTTAAATCGAAAGTATTTAGTGCTGAAATGATTAAAATTAATATTCCAAAGCCAGAGTTACGTATTGATACAACTCAAGAACGTACGCGTCCACCCCCGCCACCTTTACCAAATATCAAACAATTAAAAATAAAAAGTGCAAGTCATATGTCAACAGATGCCAGCGCCTTAGCTACGCTTGCCATGAAAAGTGGTAGTAATATCAACACACAACAAACAAAAACAATGCAAACTAATGGTTAGTGCATCATTTTTATCTTATTTATCTATTTATATATATCTTTTACTTTGCTTGATGTAACGCGAGTCTAAAGTATTTTTACTCAATAATATCTTTGACCACTTCGATGATCCGCTATAATAAAACCTCTGTTAAATTTTGATAATATGTTATTTGGATGATTTTGATTTTGTAGAAGTATAGTTTGAAGCCCAGCTTCAAATTACATATTTAGTTCTGACGAAAGACTTAATAGACCAGCTTAATGTATAAATCTTTAAGCGATATATTAGTATGGACTAAAAAACTATATTGTTGTGTGGTATGATAGGACTTTACAGAGTAAGTTAGAAGAGCATTTCTAACTTACTTAGAATAGCACTTCACGGGTTATCTATTGTGAAACTTTTTATTTAATTAAATATTAATTAAATTAATGTGATTAGCAATTATCGTTTTAAAGAATATTTGAGTAGCACTTAGAGAGTAGTTTTTTTAGATTTAGCAATAGACTTCTCGTTTTGAATATGTGGATTGTTGTAGTTTTCTTTCATATAGAGGATTCTTTTTTATTGTTTCCTTTCTTAGCAATAAAGCGCTGGTCTCGAGAATCTTGAAATTTTGGGTTCTATAAGAGTTTTGTTCTGAGTCATTAGCTTTTCTAGCAACAATGCGCTAATGTGGAGAATTTTGTGTGTTAGCTTTTCCACGTATTTGTCTTCTCAGTGTTTTTATTTCGATTATCGAATTTGTATTTATTTTATAGGTTAATCCTACTTTATTTATTTCATTAAAGAAAGTTTTAAGCTAATCACTTGCATTACTAAATTTTAAAATATTTTATAGGAAGCTCATTAAGTCTGCTTAATAATGAGTGGCAGCAATTAACTGATGTTGGCATACCGATATCCATTGCAACGGCCACTGCAACAAATTTGTGTATACCTGCTACAATAACAGCAAATAAGCCATTGCGTGTACCAACTGTTGTTAACACACAGGAGCAAGCAAATTCATATTTACATTATGCCAGTACAAGTAATCCTGAACGTAATCCTGTGCCAACATTTACTTTATATCAGCAGCATCAACAACAGCAGCAACAACATCAACATCAACAACAACAACAACAACAACAGTTACAACAGCAACAAATACCAATGCTGTCTGGACTGCCAACAGCAACATATCAACCTAAGTTTTATCAACATCCGCTGGTGTCAGGTACAATACCGCCTACAATAACAGTAGCGCATGATGAACAGCAAAAGCGTTTGCTCACAAGGAAACCAACTGCATCCATACTTTCCAATAGTTCTGTGGCACTAAATGGGAGCAATGCTATCAACACAGCTATAGCCAGTAACAATGTTGCTGTACATAATGGTAGTGCTACACTCAAAGATGTTAGTAAGAATGTCGCTGGTGAAAAAAATAAAGTAAAATTCTCCGATACGGTCCAAGTAGCCGTTGTGCCGGTTAGTATTTAATATAACTGAAATATTATTGTAATATTTTTATTATTATTATTTTTTTTTAAATGAAGTGTTTATAATATTTTTAGGAGATACCACGTAAAGAGAAACCCCTGCCTCCAAAACGCAATGGTTATTCTCGACCACTGTCGCGTAATTTAACAAATCCTAAAAAAGAACTTGCTGATAGTTTACCACTATGTCATCCTAATGATGACTATTTAAAGGATTTCAATCCCATATCCACTGGTAAGTCCAAAAATATTGACAATTTTTATGGTATATAATAACTTATTTTCTATTTTTATAGAAGATGCACCAAGAATTGTTGCCAAACAACATTCTAAAGAAGATCAAACAGCTACCAAATCACCACCTCCAGCACCTCCGCCAGCTATTAAAGTAGTACACTTCGGTGTTGTATAGGCTTTTCTTTTCTAAATTTCTTAACAACTTTTTAATTATTTGTAATGCTATATTTTTGCTTCGGCCAATGATTCCCTAAGTTTAGTATTCATATCATAGTAAGCAAATTTTTAAAAAACAAAATATTTAATAGTATACAGTAATGCTACAAAGTGCTCGAATCAGTACGTTCTTTGACCAGCTGTAGTATATTCGAATTCCAACATTTAGATAAAATGCCAAACTTGCAACACTTTTTGTACAATTATTTTTGTAATGCTCCAAGTTATAAAACTTCATACAATTCCCTGGTTTTTTGAATTTCATAAGCCCATCAAACACCTCTCTAATGATTCGTAAGATAAACGAATCGAACATCGTCCTTATAGTAAAGAAATGGCATCACTGGTTTAAAAGTACAATATATTTTATTATATTAATAAGCAAACGGCAATTCTAAATGTTTTAACAATTCGTACGGAATTTAGAGCTTTTTACTCGAAATTTAGTATATTGTTGTTGGTGTCGTAGCCCGGAAAGATCTATGTAGCAATTAAAATAAAATAGTTTATGATGATGGGTATTTGAATTCAATGAATTAAAAATAATAAAAAATATTATTGTTGCAATTTCACTACTAAAACGAAACCTCTCTATAGAAAGGTTCCATAAAAACCTCCATATTAAAAATAATAGTTTATATTAAGAATTTATTTTCTTTCGTCAAAACAGACATTATAAATCAATTGAAAATGATTTGCAAATATAAACACTTGACCAAATGCCTTTCTTGTAGAGTTAAAAAAAGTATTGGAGTCACAGTTGCATTAAAACATTAAAGTCAAAAATTATGTTTTTTCATTCTAATATATTTTACTATAGAATCACAATTGGTCCACATCTCAGTAAATACTTTTAGTCAAACAAATGGTCACAAAATTTAGTAAATCGTACTATGTCCGTGTTAAGGTTTTGTTTCATTTACAAGTGCAATTGTATTTACTATTTAAATACAAGTTATACAAGATGTTGTCTTCCAGATAAGCAAATTACTTAAAACATAAAACAATCGTATTAGGTTAAATGTATGCCGTCCGTTAGTAAAGCTTTAAATAGTACATTCCAGTTAATTGTAAATTGATTTAAGTGTATTTTTAATATTATAGTATATTAATAAAACATTTACTATAACAAATTAAAACTATTTTATTCACATTGTTAACGCCAACACTCATTTTTTATTTTTCAAAGCTTGTATACGTTCAAGTTCTGCTTTTAGCTCTAACAAATCCTTATCAGGCACATAACGTCTTTCTTCCATCTCATCCGTGTGTTCATTAATTTGTAATTGCACACCTTCCGGTAAAGCTGCTTGGGCTAAGCGCAAGAATGTTGGATATAAAGGAGAGTCCACATAATTTAATTGTAAATTACGCTCATAAAGTGTTAAACGGTATTCAGCTTCTACCACAGCTGAATTCGGTCGCAGACGGTGGACTTTCGTGTGTTGTGGCGGTAACGCATAGCTATAAATTTTAAAATTTATTACATATTCATTATGCTTTTTAATAGGATTATGTTTTTGCATAACTCACCAATCGGATACATCAATGTCTAAATATTCTGTGAGACTGTGTAAATATCTTTGATAACTTTCCAACAAGGGATAATCATAGCCTTTTATTTGAACGTTCAGACATTCAAATTGTGGATATTTCGGTTTCAGTGACTGTAAATCATGTGTCATTATATATATAGTTTGTAATTTATTTGAAAAGTCTTACATCTAAATAATCTGGTTCGTATACGCTTCTTGAACTAGATTTTCTTGTTGAGAATATATTCGTTACTGTCGGTTTGTGTCTTAGGGTGATGCGGCTTAAAGTAGAAAACTGTTTTATTGTTTAGAAAAAAAAATATTAAAACATTTTACTCTAAATTTTAATTAATTATTTGCTCACATTTCGTATCATTTTTATTCTGTGCTGTTGATATTTTTATGAAACTACCGAAAAGGTTATGTCACAAACGGCTGTTTTTATTGTGAATAGACAAAAATTTACTTCATTCACAATAATTATAACACGGCGCGTACTTAAACTGTAATATACAATTCTTAATACAGGAAGAAAAAAAAATTTTTTATAGAATGGTGTCATTTTAAACCGTTACAGTAGCTGCGAGTGGTACTTACATCAAATAGAATATTCTGATTTTGGGACATTAACCGGGTCACTACTAGAACGAAGAGAATAAGGTATAACGAATTGTAACCAAGTGCCATATTATGCAGATAGTCATAATCACTTCAAACCAAACTTGTTATTGTTATTAATAGAAATTAAAAAATTAATAATGAAAATTAGGAGAGGTTTGGTCACGACAATAAGGCTTTTTGTTAGGCCCATGTTATGAAGAGTGTTACGGGCATAAAATAAAAATTCTTGTTGCTTTCAATACAAATTAAAAAACTAAGAGTGAGAGAAAAAAATAAATGTCGGTTTAAATTCGGTCATGAGAGCCGAGGTTATCTGTGCCTTTATTATTAAAATTGGAAAGTGTAAAAATTAGGTTATTAGCGGCTTATAAAATAGGCTGTGTTGCTTTCTGACATTTTTTCTTCAAAACGTATTGAAATTGTAGTAATTTGCTCCTAAAATGCTCAAATTTTGACATTTATTACTAAACAACACTGCTTTGCCTAAGTGCAGAGTCACAGTTAGCCGGGCTCTCATGCTGAAATTTGAAGTGATGTCAACTTTAAAATTTGTATTAAAAAAAAAAACAATTTTACTCATGCCATGCCCGTGAACTTTACATAATAGGTCTGTTCCACGAGCTACTCATAGTAACTTTGAGTAAACACTGTGTATACACAAGCGCGTTCCATCAGCAAATTTTCAAGTATTTTTGTGTAAATTTTACTTCTGTTTTACTCATGTTTAACTATGAGTAGCTCGTGGAACAGACCTAATATGGTCCTTAATTGAAAAATTTTTTATAAAATTTTCAAAATTTTATACAATGAGGTGAAAATATCATGGAGTTAAAAAAAAGAAGCTTAATGCTACATAAGAGCGCGTAATAATTTTCTCCACTCGGTCTTGTTATTTTGCCCACCCGGTTTTTACTCACCATGATGTTTGATAAAATAAGAGCACACTTTCAGAAATTTTGTTGTTTGTTTTGGTTTTTCGACATTAAAAATCGTCATGAGAAAATGCGCCAAAGTTTAGGTGCTTAAATATCATTATACTGAAAGGAAAATAAGGCGGACTTGAATTTTAATTATTAATTAATTTGTGGATAATTTATAATAATTATGAACATGGTAAAATCCTGAAGCCTGAGAAAAATTAATATTTTTAATTGTACTTAATATATTGATATATATACTCGTAATTATGTTAATTACATTTTAACAAATTTCACATTTGCGTTCTAAAAATATATTGTATAATTTGCGATGTTGTTGTCCAAAAGGGCTTGGACAGGATATCAGTTGCATTGCACTTTATAAAATTGCTGCAAATTTTGTTGTAGTTTGAACAAAGTCCGCGATTTAGTCAATGTGATCTGTGTTATTTGTAACTAATATCTTTGTATTAAAAGTTCCTTAATACTTGTCCAAACTGTGTTACATATTATATCCTTTGTTAAGAATTTTAAATAATGCTCGTTTTATGATGTTTATTATAGAAACGATTGGAAAATCCTGTTAGGAGTCTACAAACGGGTTGTTTTATATATCCCAAAATATATCCAAAAACCATGTTAAGAGGCGGTGAAAATACTGAAAACCCTACGATTAAAAGAATGAGGTATACTCATGTAAAAGGTATGCGAAGAAAACTGTTTTGATAAATAAGAATATTGGTGCAAAATAGGGTTTAGGTGGTGGAGAGCATTCGAAGATGGTAAATAAGTGTAACCAAATTTTGTTAATGATATTACTAACATAAATACATTTCTATATTAGCAAAAAAAAATCACTTCACTTAATGATTCTTCGTCAGATTCAAAACTGCGTCCTTTTCTAATAGCAACTAACAATGACGAAAATAATAAGTCATATAAGAATATGCACGAAGTGCCTGGAACACATGAACAATTGTTGGAAGAAAAGTTGAATCCGCTTAAATCAAATAAAACAAAAATTTTAGATAAGTTGAATACTACGTGCGACGAAACAGATTGCAATAAATTAATGTAATATTGACAAATTGTTTCATTTAAAAAAGTTAAGACAGAAGTTATCATCAATCTTGAAGACAAAAAACAAAAACTCAGAGAACCAGAAACTCTCACTTTTCTGGATGCATATTTATCAGATTCAAAGGTTCTTGTCTATAACGGAAATTATTAATGTCTGTGCGTAGGTCTGGCTGGTATTGACCACACCTATTTTACTTATATTGTGAACTATATTTTAAATAAATTAAAAAATACTGTTACTGATGTTTAATTATTATAAGATATGCACAATTAATTTTTTTTAAGTATTCATGCTATAAAAGATGTGATTGACAATCATCGTCGAAAAACAAATGCTGCAATCAAGATTATTGTAACATATTACCTTGCGATCAGTTGCACTACGCGTTGCAGAAGAATTCTATCGGCAATCAAAAAAAAATAAATTTACTTTCTAAAAATGGAAGTGGCTAGAAATATGGTTCCAAAATTTCATTAAAATATTAAAAGCCTGATAAATCGTCATATGCCTGAAGCTAATTTCTGCTTCGAATCTGCTCTGAATCTGGTAGAACCTGGTGATATCACTTTTTGGACCTATTAAATAGAGGTATGTAACCGTCCATCACCAAACGAGCTTATCTTAAATGTAAAGTTATAAACCATATTTGAATAGTAATTTTAACAGTATTGTCTCAATTTTCTACAAAAATGTAATACTACTTGCGTACGTCGACGATATTGGTATTGTAGCTCTAAATACCCGGTTCGTCAAAGCGAGTCTTTCCATCTAAAAAAAACTAGCGAAGCAAAGCGGTTTACTCTTTCAAATATTTTCTTGTTATTTCGGATAGATTAGGCAATTAAGAAGAAAACCCCTCTCTCGACAACCCACAAAACCGCTCTACGACTTTCAACTAACAATGCTAAGAAGGCATAAGATGCATTTGAGAGAAAAATTTTTTAGATCTATGGTCCAGATCAATTTTAAAATTTCATTAATAGTTACATTTTTAGTAGAAGTACTTATAAGTAATTAAATAGACCGTAAAGTGATAAAATGACAAACTCTGAGAGCAGTTTTTTATTTCTTTTTTTGTGTTAAAATTTTGAAATGAAAGTGTCAGCTGATTTTATTTTTGTTTACTAGGTTTTAATATTAGTAGCAAAAAATAAGTGGAGTAAGTAAAATTAAAGTGAAAATGTTTTGTGTTTTAATTTCTATTTCTACAAATTCACATTTATTTCAGTAGGTTATTAAGTTACATTCACAGAAACAAATATGCACACAATTTTTTTACATTACCGAATGAAGAAACAGCGTGGAACAAATCAAAGCCACCTCAGTGGTAGCTATAATATTGAAGCTGATTAAAAATTTTTAACTATACTTAAAACCACTTATCACTTTTTATACTTACCATTTTGCACGACATACTCAAAGATTAAACCATGCCTTAACTAGCTAACTCATGTTAGTTATTTTTATACTATAGATTAATTACACTTTTTTAATCAATTTATTTTCCACTTAGTGGAAAATTAGTTTGGATAATTGTTGCTAAGAACAAAGATCGAAACATTGCCATCTGAACTTCTATATAATTTCTTTTTCTTCCAAAGATCTAGCAATTTTGCTTTATCTTAAATATTCTAGTGGACGCCCTAGTCTTTGAGTCTCAATTTTTTAAATGCATTTTCAAGATTTTTCAGGAAGTGTTTTGATTTAACGTATACTGTATTATCCATTGCCATTTGACGTTAACGATCACACTGCCGTACTCATAGTCATTGATCTATGGGTACGTCCGTCAAGTGCTTAACAGGCATCTGCTCTGTAGATGATGTAAGAAGCCATACTAAAGTTTGTATCATTGCTCCGACTAAGACATTCATGCTGAAGAGTTAAAATCCTTTCTGTAGACTATAGTCTACATAATAAGAAAAAAATACAAAAACTAATTATATATTAATATAAAAAAAAAATTACTAAAATGCATTAACACATATAATGTCTTTCTAGTATATCTGTCACTTTTTTTGGAACTACCCAATATTGAAGTTCAATTGTTTGATAGTACAGTAATTGATGAAGCTTAATAACTTAGTAATTCCATTTTAGTATTAAACCAATAGAAATCAAGATTATTATACAAACTATTCTACAGTCTATCAAAGAATGGTTTAATGCAATTTCTGATCATATAAAAAAAAATATGATTTTGAAACTATGACATCGACTGCAATTTAGTATAAATTGACGATCAGAATCTTAATAAAACTGATAAATCTATCCTGTTTTTATTTACTGCCGTGTAGGAATATTTACTATGTTATATGTTTTAATATATAAAATTTTTTTTGTCATTATTTTGAAATAATCTAAATTATGCATAATCTAAATTTCTCTGGACGAGGAAAACTATTAATTTTTTTATTCATGTATTTTAAATTTGAAACTTAATATAATGTATAGAATAAAATTTATATAATAGAAATGATTGGCTTAGATTTAAAAATAACGCGTACTAACCAGCGATTTAAAAACATGTTTTTCTTAAAAAACCTTATTTATTTTTATATAGCGAGTACTTAAAACTTAATTTAAGTTTAGAAAATATTTGTGCTAGAAATTCTATCAATCGGTTCAGATTTGTATATAAGAGTTGCATAAACTAATATTTTATCTTATTCTATATTATATATACTGCCATCCAGACTATTATTAGCTTTATCATTATTTAACGTTATTAGCTTATTTATAGCAAATATAATTGAAATCGTTATTTATTATAGCAAATATAATTAAAATTGTATAAAATATTGAAGTATAGTATCATTATTAAAATTTAACAATTAAAAATGAAAAAAATAATTAATTTAGTAATTCTACAGCTGGTTTGTTAATAAACTTTCAGAGCAAATTCGAACAAAACTCCAAGTTCGAATACACAAATCAAGTATGGGTTTGGATCAGTTGTCTAATGTGTTGCTGTTTTCGTACAAACGAGCGACTTTACGCAAGCGATTAGTTGTTTTTTGCAACACTTTACAGCAGCCGAATACACCTAATATAGTTAATATCCAGTGAAACATTCCAACTATTGCTTTTGTGTTTTATCGGCAGAACGCTTAAATATTAACATTTCGCTTTCGAAAAATTTTAAATTTTATAAATTTTAATGTATTTATTTAATGTATAATGTATTCATTCTTCTAAAAACTCTCTTTCTTTGTTCCTTCCAACAGCAACTAATTTTTTTCTTATTCGCACAAAGCACCCTGTTCTGTTTTAGTTATTGTTGTTTTGTTATTGTTTGTTGTTATTTACTGAACTTCTGTGCCTCTCTTCGCTGCTCTTATAAGAGTGCTGGTGATTTTTCTTTAAACACTTGTTCTTGGTTAAACGACGTTGACGTCGATTTTTCATGGAAGTTTGTAAACTTCATAAAACTTAATAATCAATTAAATGAAATAAAACAATTGATTAGTTGTGGGATCCAGCAAAAGAAACAAGAAAATCACAAAATAGGCAAAAACAAAAATATTAAAAAAAATGTTAACGCGAGAAATAATATTTCCCATAATATTGTGGTTAGCGGCTTTTGGGTTGTTGGCAGTAAATGGGAAATCGGATCCTGGCAAAACGAATACTGTGCTTAATAGGGTATGAAATAGGCATTGCTTGGAGAGCATTGCACATTTATAACAATACCAAAAAAAATAATATTTATGTATAAAATGTTTTGCTTCGTTTCTGCAGGATTACAATGTAGACAGAGAGCAGCGACCGCTTTTGGCTAACTCCAAGATATGCGTCAAAAGTAATTTGTTTATAAACAATATATTTGTATGAGACTTTAAATAAATATACACTATTATTACAGTTGCTTGCAGTTCAGCGGAGCCTATGGATATAGTTATTTTCTGGACGTTGACAGAAATGAAATGTTGGGATTATAAAGACAGTGTACGTGTTTTTGGCTTATTTGGCTAAGCAACCATTTTATTAAATTTCCTTTTTTATTGTTTACATTAACGCAAATTAGTTTCAATCACCTTACATATCCTATGACAACGGAGTTTTACAACCAAACAAAAGCAACGACAAAATCATAATTTCACCCAAACTGAACGCTGAGTGTCCACAACATCGTGTGGTGCTTGCTGAGTTACAAGGGTCATTAGGTGATGGTGGCGAAAATGGTGGAGGAAATGCAGCGGGAAACGGTGCAGCAGATGGTGCCGCGCTAAAAGCACAAAACCATCCGATTTCGGTGAGTATTTTATTTATTTATACATATGCTTTGCAAAAGCAAACATCATTGCAAACCTTATTGCAAACATTTGCAACTAATAACAAAATATATCAAATATCTGTTTGCTCGGCAAGGTGTTGAAATATGGTTTTCTGTATTTTCTGATAAAAAGCGCTTTTGCATGAGTGGTGATTCATTTCTAGTTTTATTATCGAAGTGTATTTTGTTTACTCTATTAAGTGTCTGTATTTGTTCAGATAAATTATTATATGAGTCTGTATGTGCGAACGTATGTTCTTCGAATAATTATTTAAATGACATATTTTTCTTATGTCTTAAGTGAATATCGTATGAAATATAAAATTTTGCTGCTTTTTTTTTGAATATTAAAAATTTATTTATTTAACAAATATAAAAACTTTTAATCTTTCAAAAATGCTATTTTTAGTTAAAATATTTTAAAAATTTTTGGAATGTACTTTACATGAGGGCTTGCTGCTATTTAACTTCCGTATTGCTCTAAGTACGATAAATTTTTAGTTTAGTAAATTTTCTTATCAAAGCTAAGCTCTACACTACACAAACATATGTTTATTTATAGGTTCAACTTAAGCACACGCTTTTATCTCGAAATGTGCAATTGTAAATTTAAAATTGTTTAAAAGCAAAACATATGTGTATTATATTAGGAAATATACTGTTAAAGTTAATTATAGAATTTACATTTCACGCGATATGAACAAATTACGTTAATATTGTTAAGATATTTTTACTGTACGCCTTAGGCTGTTTCTATGTATGCCCATGGAGAAACCAGCGCACGTGGCGGATCGTTTACAATAACAATAATGTTGTTGTTGTTGTAACCCGCAGAGATCTATAAATCAGGTAGCATAAAAATAATTATAAAGTTCCAAGAACGACCAGATCTGCGTCCCGGAGCCACTTGTCACATTCGACAGCCAAGTTCCCTTCAACATCTCCCAAACGGACTTCACAAACAGGTCCCAGCGAGCTATAACAACAACAACAAAAGAATTACAAAAACTTATACATAGATTAGAAGTGGATAGATGATGGTAGTGCGAGAGGACAGCTGATTGTTTAGGAGTGAGAATGTTTTACGAATGGGTGGCATTTAAATTGAAGCCAATTCAAAGTGGAATAACCTAGCGACTTTAATGAGCCGATTCCAAAAATCGATTGAATTTAAGTTAATGTATGCGTTGGGGCAGCGAAACACATGGTTAATAGACCTGCAGTTACGGCACATATTGACAATTGAGGTATTTATACGTAAGAAGTAACTGTTTAGCACACGGCTATATCCTCATTTCAATTGGGGTAGGACATTTCTTGCTGAACAGGAAAGGCGTCATTCTTCCTGGGAGATATAAGGCGGAGGCTAAATGAAAACTTTGTTGCAATCGTGGTCTCGAAAAGAACACTGCATCTATGTGAAAGGCTGTTAGTCCATGTTTATATCGACGATATTAATGTTAGCTCTATAACAGTATGTTCGACATGTACATGATATAAAGTAAGGCCATTGGGGTATCCATTTGCGTGTGACGCAAGAAGATATTGCGTAGACAGCACTTGGTCATGTTTGTTAATAAGAAGTAAATTAATTTCTGCATTAAATTAGTCAGTATGCAATGACAGCCAGTCGTAATCCCCAAATCCATATTGTGAATGTTATTAATAAGATACACATAGAGACATAGAGATAGAGCTCCTTTTTACAAACTACTTGTGCAATAGTATGTGGTTTCTCTCTTTTTTCTATAGTATCTGCAGTCTGAGTTGAATTGGATTCCTGACTTTGTTAGGTGATTATTCAATCAACAGTGACCGGTTAGTAATCCTGTAAAAATTCTTAGGTTATTTTTTATTTGTTCTATGTAATCCTTGAAGTATTTTAAAAGCATTTTAGTCCCTAAAAGCATTTTAGATTGTGATAGGCTTGGTAGCCAGCCGTTCCTAATGGAGTTCTCTTTCTTTTTCCACTGCGCCGTTCATAAGAATCGATAGAGTTCGTTTGTGTAGACCACAAAAAGATTCTGGACGTATTATTACTGAAGCTGCGCCTATTCTTGCGAGTTTGTCTGCTATTTCATTGTCTTGGATAATAGCATGGCCTGGAATCCTTATTAAATGCATCTGACTGTTCCAGCCAAGTATGTTCAGCTTTGTATTGAGGCACTCCCATACCAGTTTGGATATCAGCTTGTAGGATAAAAGCTGCTGTAACGCCAACACCAAATGTTTTCTGAATTCCATCAAGTTTTAAAATGTTATAGCTCTCGTCTAGAGGTGGCTACCAAATTACAATGTCATATTACACGTATTGAACACACTATAGTCATGTACTTCCGTCATTGCTTCTATCCAGATTATTTCTTTTATATATATATAAATATATTTTTAATTTTTTATTTTGGTTGCATATATTTGCATAATTTTTTATTATTTAGTTTTAATCACAATTATTCCGTTTTTATAGCGCGTCTGCAAACCGATTGTTACCGTTTCCAGAGATGGCATATACGACTTTGCACTAACAATAAAGCCAATGAAAGACAATATAGCATTTACAGCATCGGTAGACATTGAAATGTTGGGCCCACATGGGTATATATCAGCAAGTGATTGGCCTCTATTGCCGGTAAGTATAAAATGCATATGTTACATCATCACAATGATATAACTTGCTTTTCAAATTCTTAAGCAAAGTGAAAACATTCTAGTAATATTTTGTAAATTTTTGCTCACTATAGTTCTATGGTATCATGTGTATTGTGTACGTGATTTTTGGCATTATTTGGCTCATTGTTTCATTTATGCAATGGCGCGATTTGTTGCGCATACAATTTTGGATTGGCGGTGTCATATTACTGGGCATGCTGGAAAAGGCATTTTTCTATGCTCAGTATCAGAGCTTAAATAACACCGGTGTGCCTGTGCAGGGCGCTGAATTAGCTGCTGAATTTGTATCGTGTGCTAAACGTACGCTGGCTCGTATGCTTGTTATTATTATGAGTTTAGGTTTTGGCATTGTAAAGTGAGTTTGTGTTACTCCTTAAAATTATTTATTTTATTTCTTCTAAAAATCTTTTCACACATTCATAATTTTATCCTTTATTTTGTACAATAATTTTATAATAGTACAATTATTTAAATAATTTTCTAATGATCTTTATTGTTTAGACCACGTTTAGGACCAATGTTACATCGCGTTGTAGGAGTAGGTGCACTATACTTTGTTCTCGCCTGTGTCGAAAGCTATTTACGTGTGATGAGCATAAAACCTGATAACAATGAACTACTGGTCGCTAGCATACCTTTAGCCGTTTTGGATACTGGCATTTGTTGGTGGATATTCACTTCGCTAGTCCAAACAACAAGGACGTTAAGATTAAGAAGGTATATATTATTGATAATTGTTGCAGGGATTTAAGTTAAACTTATTTTATTTTTCAGAAATATGGTTAAATTATCTTTGTACAGACATTTTACAAATACCTTAATATTTTCTGTTATTGCTTCTGTCATTTTCATGGTCTATGCTTTACATTTACGAAACACACAAAAATGCACACCGGTAAGTACAGTTATTGATTTTAATGCAAAGTAGTTTCAGTTTTATTGATATTGAGTTTCAGCTTTATTGAAACTACTTTAGTGTATAAAGTAATGTTAATATTCTTGTACATCGAAAGCTCTCTTAAGCGGACACGGGCGAGACTAGCAGTTATGTTCGGTTAAAAGAACTGTCTGTCATTGTAGTTATCCGTAGGGACCTGTGAAGCAGATAACATGAAAGGAATTACATAGCAAATGCATGGATGGGATGATAGATTGTGGATGGGTAATGGTTTCGTGAGAAAGGAGGAGATTTTTAAGGAGTTTAGAGAATGTTCGGTTTAGGATGGGTGGTATTTAACCTAGCCAGGAAACCCAGCCCAGCCACTTCTATGGGATGTATCATTTTCATCGATTGGACAAAGGTTTGTGTGAGCATTGGGCAGGAAAACAGATGGGCGACTTCATGAGCGGTTGAGTTGCAGTTTGAGCACATATTAGGACATTGATGTATTCATGCGTGAGAAGTAACTGTTAAGCACATAGCTATAGTCTGGTCTCAATAAAGGTAGTACAGTTCTTGCTGCGCGGAGAAGGAGTCGTTCTTCGTGAGACTACTATCTGTTTATGAAAACTTTGTTTATATAAAAAATAACAATTAAAGAAGAAGAACATTAAAGCGAACAATGGTGAAATAAAAAAAAAACTGTCTAACAAAGCGTAATTTGTGTGATAAAAAAGAATTGGATATTAACAACATTGCATGTTTAAAAGAGATTTCCGTTTCTAAAAGAGTCCGTTTAACAGAGCTTTTCTTGTGTTAATAAATATTTTATATTTGATTTGATATTATTAGTCAATATTTCGTATATAAAAGAAGAAGAGTGAAGTTAATATGAGCTTTATTCTAGGGTTGGCATAATATATGGATCGATACCGCCTTCTGGCATGTTTTATTCTCTGTCTTGTTATTAGTTATTATGATATTGTGGCGACCAACGAATAATAATCAACGTTATGCATTTACGCCGCTTCTAGACAATCCAGAGGATGAAGATGATGAAGGTAAGTTCAGTAAAACCTGTAAGTTTTTAGTAATTTAACTTTTAAAATAAAGAAACAAAATAAATTAATGAGAAATACATGATGTTACATGATATGTTTATAAGTAATTTATCTAATACTTCACAATAAAGCATATTCTGAACTTCGACCAACGAAATGACTTTGGTCGATTTTAGGAGTTGAAGTTTATTATTACTAAGGTTTTTTTTTTTAATAATAAAAATTTAAAAAGTTGTAAATTAGTTTTTATTTTTATATAGTCATCTATATAAATATCGCCGACGTGCACCTTGTAGTGAGTTTCGAAGACAGAGTGATGTTATGTTTATAGCAAGTGCTTATTATAAACACATAAACTACAGCTATATAAATTGATTTAATTTATTTAACTTATAAGTTATATAATATTGTTGTTATATAAATTATTTAATTTAAATATATCATAAATATTTAATTTAATCAATTAATAATTATTATTAAACAATTATTTTTTTATTTTCTAGATGAAGAGGATCAATTTGTTGCTGATGCCTACGGTGTAAAAATGCGAGGCACACATTCAAATGGAGCGCGAACGCCACCTTCAACACAACGTGCAACAACTACGGAAGAAGATGATTTGCGTTGGGTTGAAGAGAATATACCATCTTCAATGGCAGATCCGGCATTGCCTGTTTTGGACTCAGATGAGGAAATTATAAATACGAAATTCGAAGTATCAAAAATGCAATAAGATTTCGAATTTTAAACGACAGCATTACGATGTAAATTATTAGTTTGTGATTTTACATTTATCGCATGTTTCTGTTTTGCCTATAACAATATTTTAGACTTATATTTTAATACACATTATTTATTTATATACGAACATTTAATTACGAACATATGCACTTTTATATTTTTCAATATATATATATATATATATATACATACTTGTATATACGCGTACACATTGTATACACAATAATTGTTATACTAATAACATATTATATATATTTTTATAAATTTAATTTTTATAAATTTGTGTTAAATTTTTTATAAAAATTTGTTTTTTTTTCACTTCTTTCAAAAAGGGTAAACACATCGCATTTGTTAATTTAAAAATAATTTCAATAATTTATTTATATATATTATTTTTATTTACATAATAATTTTTATGTTATATATTTTTTTTTTATATTTTTTGTTTTATATTATATATTATTTAATAATAGTGGGCGGGAATTTTATGTATGTAAATAAAATATTTTTTTAATTGCTGGTCAATCATAAAACAAATTTTAAAGAATTTAATTTTTTTTTGTTTACTAAAAGCTTAAACACTAATTCTGCTATTATTGCCTTATATTTTTTGCAATTAAAATTAATTATTTAAATTATTTTAAAGAGAATTCAGCACAGTTTTTATTGATTTGCTTTGAAGTGTTCCTATTGCTAGAAATAAATAAATCTGTTTTAGATTAAATTATTTTTAATTTCCAAAAATCAAGTAATAATTGTTATATTAAAATATTGTATAATAAATTATAATAAGCCATATTAATTAAAATATCTGTAAGCTTCTGTAATATTTTAGTTTAGTCAACTGTAGTTTGTAAAATTATTGCTTGTGACGTACATGAATTTTGAAGAAATATTTGTATTTATAAGAAGAAAATGTCTAAATTATAAGGCAGCTCTTAAGACTTTGTAAATACTAATTCTGCAAATAATTTTTGTTAGGTTTCTCATAGAAAAAATAAATACAAAATAATATAATAATAAATTTTGTAAATTATGAAATGTATTTAAAAACATTTAAATTTTATAATTTATGTTAATAATTTGAAATAAATTTAAATGAGACTTCTCGCTATAATTGAATACACTCTATAATAGTTTTTTTGTATTGTATGTATCTTTAAGTTTTTATTATCGCCTTAAGATAAAAAATTTCCGATTATTAAGATATGGTAGTATGTTCTTAATAGATTGTGATTATTGTCGCATAAAGACATATGGTATGAAAAAATTTCCGATTATTAAGAAATGGTATTACGTTCTTGTTAGATTGTGATTAACATTATAAAATTATGTGAATACTGAATGCATGAAAAAAGACCTATTATTTTTGCTCATAGTTCGAAGAAAAAAAGATGCTTGCTAGATATTGCTCTATTATACTATAGAGTAAAATCAAATGGAAAATTTGATCATTATATATAAAATATGTGCTTTACATTTTTGTTATTGCTGAATTACATCTTTCGTAATTTGCTTCCATAATATATATGTAACCTGAATTATGCTTTTACAAAAGCTTTTGCTGAATAGTTGCTAGTTTATTTTTATAAATATATAGTCTAGACGTGATACAACCTATAAGTACAAATGAGGCTTTGCTTGAAATAGTACACTGATTCACAACTAATTCTCAATTAATGTAGATAGGCAGTGTCTACGTACCGCAACCCCTCTTATACGCAGGTAATCAACTGTTATAATAATCGACCATTCTATCTGAAACTGAAAAGCAGGTAAGTTTTTGTTGGTATATGTTGTGTTTCTATGGATTTCAACACCAACAACAGTGAACTGTATAAGGGAGGACTAAGCCTCCATTTGGGGCTGATTAGGTCCGCCTTATAAATGAATTCCATAATGTTAGGTGTTGAAGATTGAACTAAATAAATAAATTAGGAAGCAGGAATATATATAATTGAGTTGACTACAGCTTCTAGTGAGTTAATTGGAACAATTGAATGTGTTCAAGTCTTTTTAAAGTAAAATTTCTTTACAAACGCGGATTAGAACATTTTAGTGTTTTTTAATGTAATGCGATTAGTTTGTTTTTGAACCTGCCACATTTTTATCTTTTGCCAAATTTTAATAAATATGACTGATGTTAGGAGTGCCAATCTGACAAGTCTATAAATTTGGATATGTTTCTAGTTCTAAAGGTTAACAGCTCTGTCAGGTGAATAAGGGAAACCCAAAGATTTTTAGTCTTTTACTGGCCAAGGATAGGTCAAAATGACATATAAAGAAGTGCACAGTTTCTTTCTCCTCTGCAGAAGCGCAAGATGTAAAATTATTAAACTATTGAGATATATTTATAAAAATAGGCACATATGCAGTGTTGAGCACAAATATTGAGCCCATTATGATATCATGAATGTTCCTGTGCATATGCCAGACCTGAAAGACTAAGTAAAAGGTACCACTCCGAAGGTTCACATTGTTGTTGTTGTTTTAACCTGCTGAGACCTACCTGTAACCAGATTACATGAAAGGATATACAAGACGATTACATGGGTGAGGAAATGGGGGTGATGGAGGGGGAAATGAAGGAAGAAAGTTTACATTTAAAAGTTCTAGTTCTATTAAAATTAATAAAACTATTGAGATATATACGAAAAAATATCATATTGTGTTGAGACTTGATATGATGCCAAGCCAGACGACCACCTCAAAGGTAGAACTCCGAAAGGTTCACTACTTCTAAGGTAGAAGTTCGAAGAGTTTCTTGAAAAGACGTGACTTCCCTACTATAGTATGTAATTTTATTTAAAATAAAAAAATAGTTTTTTTTTATTATTTCGAAATAATTTTCTTAATCGTTTATTTTGTAAAAGGCTTTATCTTAAAATTTAAACAAATATGATTATAGTAAAGATTTTAGTATATATTATATTTTCAGTTTTTTATGTTATTTATTTTACGTTTATTTTCTTTTCAGTTTATTTTTTATTTTTAATAGCGTTTACTTTTATATATAAAATTTTTGCATAATTTTAGATAAAATAAGTTGATTTTTATATATTAGTGACATATATTAAATAAAATCTGATTTCAATTAGATCTATAAAGCAAAAAATACAATTTGAACGGGACATGCATGCCTGATATCCCTTTATTAAAATATTACAAAGAAAAAAAAAAAATATATATATATATATATATGTATACATATATATTAATAAAAACTATTTTTATTTAAGCCAAAAAAAAAAATTTTTTTTTAATAAAATTAATTTTAATATAAAGAATATAGAAACAATCTAACGGGTAAGCACACAAGACGTCAGACGTAGGTAGCTAGACATTGCGAACATAAAAATTCTAAAATTGTACATTGAAAAATGCAATAAGGTTTATTTAAACAAATTTAACAATTTCTTAGTAACAATAATGCAAATGCAAAAGGGCAACGTTACCCAAACGGTTTTGAGCACACTTCGTCAATCATTTCGTTGTATTCGTTCTTTCATTATACTATATAATACTATATTTGTCGCACTCGTGGCGGAGACAGACTGCCGCAATCATTGTTATATTGGATATGGGATTTATACACAATTAAGAATTAAGAAGTAGCGCTTCGAACTCCTTCAGGTAACATATTTACACTCTTTTATCATTAATATCTTTCTCTATATATATGTATGAATACTGCAGAACGGTATTTACGCTAATCGTGGACGATGGTGATCGTGGGCGATAGTAACCGTGACCGTGGCGGTGGAGGATGAAATTAGAAAAAAAGTATACAGCAAATGACTCAGTTATGTAAATTCGTTTGGGAAACGCTGCTCTTCGTTTAATACATATATGATTCGTGTGTATATTCTTAAGTCTTCGATTAGTATCAATTAATTGTATCATCATTTAGATATAATTTGTTGCTATTGTTTTTAGAATAATTTTATTAAATCTTAACGAAATTTTTACTACTTAAATTATTTTTGTCTCGCTTCCTTAACTTGTCTTTCGTAGACTTTTTAACATACTTTATCGCTATATGTGTATATATGGGTGTATATATCAGTATGCAGTTTGAATTGTTGTTTTTGTTAGGCGTGAAGGTGAGTTTGGGGAGAGGGGTTTAATTTGCATCCGGTTTAACATTACGCCTTAAAATTGCAGCAGCTAAATCTTGCTTCATTGCTACTTGTGCTCTTTGATCTGCGAGTGGCTGTGTACTTCTTAATCCGTTGACTATATCTTTGGTCTTACCAAAATATATCTCATTTAATGTGTTTCGTATTTTATTTTCCATTTCTTCAACCATTTTACCAATATTGGCTATATGTGGCGAGGATTCACTTACGGCTGCATCTAATTCTGCTTGACGCGTCAGTGAGCCACCCAAATTCATGGTACCTGACCCTTGTTTATTTGTTTGCAACCAAAGCATAGCAGTTGATGTTAGTTTATAATGTGCCGTTCTGCCTGTTGGTTTCTCTTGCACTTCTACGACATGTATAGAATCCCAGCAACCTCTAATTTTTTTACTACCATCACCGGCTTTTTTAATAAGTATCACAGCTGCAAAACCATGATCTAAATCCCATAGATATACTGATGATACACCACCCTCATAGTACATTTCACGGTATTGATCAAAGGCATAATTGGCTTCAATCTCTAATTTTCTTAAACGTTCTGATGGCATTTGCCCATCTTCTAATGGTGGATAATAGGTGTTCGACCACGGCGATCGATAGGAGTCCCCATCTCGATTATAATCGCATAATAAATAATCTTTACCATGCTCTTTATCCTTGGCTATTTTAAGAGGTTGATCTACTGAGGATAATAAATCTTCACAAAGATCCGGCGCTAAATCAATAAGATCGATTAAATTCTTTTCAATTTGTTGCGGCGGTAAACGACGCATAAGATCTAGCGCACAATCCATTTGTAATTCAGACTGAAATTAAAAAAAAAAAATTGCATTAGAAATTTCTATAAAATAATAAAAAAAAAATATTTAAATTTTCAAAATTTCTATATTTAGATATAGAATAAGTATAATTAGAATAATTTTTATATGTATTAAGATTTTAGGAAATACTATTGTATTTTTGTTTTTCAACACAAGAGTTTGAAAATAGATCCATAAATAAATTAAATATAAAAATTAAATTTATATTAAATTTGATTTTAAAAATCAATTATGACGAAAGAAATCACTACTAATCACTCTATTAAAACTATTATTTTAATAGAGAGGTATTTTGAATAGTAATGAATTACAACAACAAAATTTTGTTATTAATTAATTAATTGAATTTTTGGCTGACTAAATAGCAGTGTAGAGTATTGGCACATACCCATCATCAGTGATCTATTGGAAATATTTCTTATAATTAATTATTCGTAAATAATTTTTTGAGACTGCAAGTGTTTTTAAGGGGAAAGGGGAAAGTTTTTACAACTAGTCTAATGCATACAAATATTTGGCTGATTGTGTTGGATATGTTGTGGAGTTAGTTGAAGAATGGTGTGTGGATATCCTGCAGCCTACATGTGATTTCTCACTTTTTCTAGAGAACACAAACTATAGGAGTTTTAACCAACCGGCTTTACCCGATTGTATATCTATATATAATTTAGTATCCTGTGACAACCGTTATTATACTAGCTACTCATATTTTGTTTCTGTGAATTATGTTTGAGTAGTTGTTTTCTCAATCTTTTTAATTCATTTTATGTTTCGTTTTTGGAATTTTAGAAAAGTTCTTCGAAACTGATGGTTTATGTTAAATTGCAGACAAAAATTTCGAAGTACGTTTAGGTCTACATTTCGGAACCACTAGTCAAGTTCAATGATTAAGTGCCGTTTAGTACTCCTAAAAAAGACTACAGCAGCAGGTTCTAAAAACGGCTGGGTATACGTCCATGAGTCCCTCGTCGATCAAGTGCTATTCACCACCCCCCAAAGAGACTGCAACAACATGAGCGGGCTACAGCAACAACAACAACAGATCTCTGCGGGCTACAACAATAATAACAGCGGCAGATCAAGTACAGAATGTTGCAGAATTATTTTTACAGAATTGAGAAATTAGCAACAAAAAATTCTAATTAATTGCACATAATTAACTATATCTCCTGATTTGATACCGGATTGAAACAATCTGAAGAAGATATTTAATCAATACATGCAGAAACTTTTCGCTATTTTTCTTAGGAAGCCATTTTTCCACAAACACAACCAAGAACAGTTCGAATATTTAAATATTCAATCAGCAAAATTAAATTTACCATAATTAATATTAATCAATAAAAGGTGATTCGACTGTGTCTAAGGCGAAAAATATGAACTTATATATCAGAAATTCCACTATTGTCACTAAGCTATAACAGCAACAGTTATATACAGAAGTAGGCGTTCAAAGCTTAAGGAATACTCCACTCCAAAAAATGATACTATTATGTTGTTGTTGTAACCCGCTGGGTTCTGCTTGTGAAGTCCTTTTGGGAGGTGTCGAACGGCAACCGCTGGGACCTACTTGTGAAGTCCTTTTGGAAGGTGTCATTTGGTCTTCGCTAGCGATCAGTAGTTTCGGGACATAGACCCGATCGTTTTTGGAAACATACTATTATGTCGAACTTTTAGATGATCAAAGAAGATTATGTGATTGTAATTCTGGTGGTATACGGTGTACCTTATTAAACAGAATTTTTGTTATCTAATCACTATAAATAACTTCCAGGAAGCAACTGTAAATCAATCAATATTGTTATAAAATAATTTTCGCGATACTTTTTCAAGGATTTAAATAAATTTTAAGTTTATAACACATTCATTTCCTTCATAAAATTAAGATTAAAATTGGCAATTTGCGATTAAGTGTGTGTCCAACAATAAATTTTTCAATACTGAAGAAACTAGCCACTTCAACATAACATGAACTTTGGTTTCATTAGAACATTTCCATGGTAACTTCGTAATTAAACATAAACATGACTCAATGAGAAGAAAAAACATAATTGAAAACAGTTTTCCTAAACAACATTAGTAATCATTCACTGATGGATGGTTTGTGACGAAGCATTGAAATGAGCTCCACAACTGTATTTTGTCCATAAGAAGCTATTGTTCGGCGCAATTCTGACACTATTCGTCAGTGTTCAATTATTAGTCACAGCACACGACTAGCATAAATCAAAATTGAATCATTGTAATGAATCTGCGTTCAAAGCACTGAAGTTGGGCTTATTTATAGTTGCAATGATGCGAATCGCGACCTCAGCTGATCTCTCTTCACAGCAAGTAAAAAGCCACAAATAATTTTAACACAAATTCCGCATTAAAAAATGGGCTTAATACGAAGTTGGCTTAATGATAACATTGTACAAATATTTGCATTTTACTAGTATCTCTCAATACAGAAGCAAACATGAGCATTAATTCTTGATAAACAAAAAAAACGACTGATAACTCTGGTACGTCAGATATAAACGATTGTGGCACTGAACGTTATCAAATGAATCACAAATTAACGACATATTTTCGAACGCATGAAGTAGCACTTAGCACCATTTATAGGCTTCGAACCATTTATAGTCATAGTCTTATGCACATGCGGCGTAGTGAGTGATCAATGGTGATTATTTGTTTGGTTCTATCTGATTATATCTGATGTGATCATTTTTCCAGCACGCACTTGTATGCACCGACGCGTGTTAACTACTTTCTTCACTACACTGTGTTTTTTGTATTCACTTTAATTTTTGCATATTTCGAAAGGTACTTGTTCGAAAAATTCCTCCTCCAACACTGACAAAATTCTTTAACTCATTTTCGAGATAAGAACCTAAACCGGTATTCAAGTACCTCCGAACTCGGGTGCTCCTCCCAAAAACTATTTGTAGAAATTCTCCATTTCGTTGCTCGCAAATCGTATCAAATTCCATTACGCGGACTATTTATTTTCAAAAATATTTTTCCAGCGCATTTGGTTGACAATTTTCTGATTTATTTTTTTATCTTGAAATACGTTCAAATATTAAAATAAATGTTACAAAATTACTATTACTCACCATTTCGTTTCCTTCTTTTATTACTGCTGCTGCTTTAGCTACTTTTACGGCTGATTCGTACTCAATTTTTGGTGCTTTCTTCACTGCGCTTTGCAGTCTGTTCGTTGTAGATTGTACGTTTCCAAAACAAAAACAAAACAAAACAGGGAGCAAACAACACTAAATTTCTATTTTTTTTGCTGATTTGATGGATGACATTTGATATTAGCAGTTTTTTGCTTCAAGACATTTCCATCATATCTCGAAAACGATTAATATATATATATGGGTCGTTTGCGAGTTCACGTAAATTGAGGTAAAGTAAATTGAAATTTTCTAGGGATTTTTTGCATTGCACTTATGTAAATATTTATTTATTTATTTATTCCACTTATTTACTATTTTTGGTTAAAAGTTTTCAAATTTATTTATTTATTTATTAAACATCTTATAAAATTGTCACAATGGTAACACCTAATTTACCTAATTTTGATCTAATTTACCTTACTCGAAATTTTGGTAAATGCCAACATTCGCTGCCATATCGACATAATTTACTATTTCCCTCAATATAACATCGTTTTACTCGAACTCACGCACGGCCATAATAAAATTTCCTTTATTTATTTCTTTATTTTAATATAACGGTAATAGAATAAGTATTTAAAAATCTAAAATAATGTAATATATTATATATTAATGTTTTGCACACCTTTTTAGTATTATTTATTGATAAAAATATAATAAAAATTGATTTTAATATGACAGTAGCCATTATTTTTACTTTGACAGAAATTGTGGTATTTAATGAAGAGGTTTCGAAAAGTAGTGAACTACAACAACAAAAATTATTTTAACATTATTTTAATTAATTGAATTTTTGACTGATCATATATATGTTTCGCGTATTGTCAATTACCCATCATCAGTGGTCTTGAAAATAGTTCTTGTATTTAATTTATCGTTAATAATTTTTTGAGACTGCAAGTATCAGGGATTGAACTCGTGCCCTGCCAAATTTGAAACTCAGAGTGAGCGTTTATTAACCAACTGAACCAAAGCCGTACTTGACTGTTATGTTTATGTCTAGTAAATCTTAAATAGCTGTTGAATAATTGAATTAATTATATTTTATTTTTAATTTTTAAATTTCAACACTATTCTGTTTGTTGAGGCATTATTTGTTGTATGCTTTTATGTTATTCTTTCTTGAGTATAGAACCTAATTTAGGCACGTAATACCGAGAAAGTCATGGTAACGTTATCAATTAATTAATTATTAATTTATTAGTTAATAGTTAAATAATTATTAATTTATTAATTATTAAATTAAATTTATTATTTTAATTATTAATTAATTAATTATTATTTATTAATTTTATTCAATTAAATTTTTGGCTGACCATATAGCTCTTTCGAGTATTGCCAAATACTGTCAAACATAAAAATATGATTTATTATTATTATTATTTATTATTTATAATTATTATAACTTTAATAATAGTATTTTATTAATATATATAAATAAATTATTTTAATAATATTAATATTTTAATTAAATTATTTAATTTGAAAATGTAATTACTAGTGTATGTTTAAAAAATCAAAAATACACACAATATTATTGTTTTTAATTGAAGTGAATATACTAGTCTCATCGATAATATTTACACTATGCAATTTTTTACATCGAAATAAATTGAATATATTGGGTGTATACTTATACTTTTTAGCATACGTAACATATTTGACACTGAGTAGATTTTGGCAAGATCTGGATCTAAAATTTAAATACAAATATGTGCAGTATTATACATATTCGTATTTTGTACACGAATATGCACAATATTATACACAATATTTTTGTTTTTAACTGAAATTAGTACTAGTATAATCGAAGACATTTACATTATACAATTATATCGAAACATATTATATATCTCATGCTTTTTGGCATACTGGGTAACTTACTTGGTACTTGACTGAACAGATTTTGGTAAGATTCTTCGATTTGAATACAAATATGTTTTCGAATTTTGTCTATTAACAAGTTTGTTTTTAAGTTTGTTTGTTTTAAGTTTTGTTAATATTTCTTTTTGTTATATTGTTTGCGATATGTTTACAAATTAACAAATTTTTATTATTTTGTTTGTATGTAAAATTAATTTTTTATTAATTGTTTTTAAGCTTTATTCATCTACATCAACTTATTCAGTTTTTACTCAACAAAATCATAATAATGTTAAAGTACTTAAATACATTTGAGTAATGCCCCAAACAAAAACAACAATTCTTTAGATTATAGATTAGATCACTTTTCATTATATTATATATATTATATATTTGTTTACACAGCTTATCGAAAATTATATAAACAAATATTTAAAAACTAAAGTAAAACTATATAGAACTATAAAACTATATTTAATATAACTGGCTCATACAGTGTACCACAAATGCAAGAGTGATTCTTGGGTCCACTATAAATATTTATTAAAATAAAGGGAGCCAAAGAACCTAACCTAAAAATTCTTAAAACCTTAAAAACAATTTATTTAGGAATCTTTATTCGTATATCAGTTTTTAGTCCATTAAATATCTTTTAATATTTAATACGTCTTTGTATTCAAATGGGTTTCAAAATCACAATGGTTCAAAAAGTTGACTTTATTGGAAAATATTCGATTGTTTTTTTCACGAATATTTTTTATTGAATAATTTGTCTTCTATTATGCACAAATTTTCAGTAATTATGCTTTTAAGCAATCCATAGCGCATATATGTATGTCGCAGAGCTGATTAATCTTGTAGGAATAAGTGTCTGAAGGGGTGTCTAATATATTTTATGGTGTAGTGATTTTAACAAATATGCTATATCTTTTTTATCTTATTTTATTATTTTAGAACTTATTTTCTTGCAATAAATTGTGTTTAAAAAAACCCATAAAGATTGCGGTTTCAATTAAAAAAACATATTAGCTAATATTATGATCTTCAAATCATTACAAAAGGGAGTCTACGTTTTAAGGGCACTGGGTTAATGAGAAAACTGGCAATTCCAAAGTCGTATTCACAAATAAGCCGTTGTCCAAATATAATTTAAGAAATGCTTCAAATTTTAGTAGTAAAAAACTCTCGTTTCGAACAGCAGACTTTTAGGCTTACAACTTCAGCTAAAATAGATACTCTAATCAAATAACCGCACTTTATAGTCGTCAATAGAATGAAAAAGTAGATATATAGAGAAAAATACAGTTCAGTAAAAACAATAATAAAATTCCCTTCACATATATATCGTGAAATTTTTGAAGTTCTTGTTGATATTTTTAGAGAGTATTTTGAATGGCACTATATATCAATCCAAAAAGGTGGACTGATCTGTATTGTATAAGAGCGTTCACGTTTTCAAAGTCATTTGGTATAATGATGTGACGCTTCGTAATTTATTCAGTTTAAAAACCAATTTGTAAGAGTAGAAAGTAATTCATACTAATTTCGTACTAATTAATAATGATAATTTAAATTTTTATTTATAGTATTTTTACTAAATAATATTAAATTAATAATTTTTTGTTTAACCACCAACGAATTTGTTGATACGAATACATAATTATAATTCTGAATTTATTTCTCCTTCAATAATTATTGACTATTTAACATAGAAGAAAACTTTATTTATAATAAAACGAATAAAGGACTACTTTATTCGACTTCCAGGACTTCCAGCGCATGCAAGAACTGCAACGATGTCAGCTACCATACAATTTATTACACAGTATTTTCAAGATTTTTTGTCACTTACACGTGATAAGTACACCGCTAGCCGGAATTTGTGTCCCCATATCAACTCAAAGCTAGATTACACAGAGTTAGTTTTTATGACCTTTCTGGAATTGGTTTAATGCTATAAGAAATATTTCTCATACCCAAGAATTTTTTAAGATTTTTATGATTAGACACTATCTTGAATATTGCTTAGAATACCAAACTTATAAAAAAATATATCAATAACAGATACTGAAGAGGATCACATCCTTTCGACAAGTACCGCAATCTGTTTACAAAACGTTTTGATCCGTCTGTGATTGAAATTATTCCTGATATGAATCATTATGAAAAACTATGTACATAATATTATTAAAATATATACATATATACATAAATAATATATTGTTTCGGTTTTCAAACCCAGAGCTGTTGTATATGCCGGACAGACAGACGGAATATTTGTTTATTTGAATTTATTTAAAGTTTGAAATGTGATTGCAAAAAAAAAGAAATTTTACACTTTTGTCATTATAGATGTAGTACAAATGCCCAAATTTATAAACCCAATTTTTTGGTACATCGTTATGATTTTTTTTTTTGAATGATTATATATATAATATATATTAATTTTAAAATAATTTCTAAAATCAATAATTTTTGCCACAAATTTTACTTTAATAGAATGTAGCCGGTTTTATTTAGATGGGTGATATGGAAGGAAGTCTATTGACTTCTGTCCATGAGTGTAAAACCCATATTTATTCTGGGTTTATTTCTTATAATCTGTTTGATGCATTAATAAAAACTTTTGACTAATATCTAAAGAGGAGATATTCTAGGAAAATAGGAAAAAATAGACCGCGTAATGTTTGAATTTTAGTTAAAGTAAGTCTGGTTAATCGTAACTTTGTTGATAATAATAAGCGAATGATTACGTCCAAAAATGTGTGTTGAAAAAAAATAGAAAAAATAGAAAAAAAAATAAATAAAAAATCAAGTCACTTGTTAAAGATTTTGGATGCAAGTAGCAGGCAAACGAATGGAGTAAACGCTTTCGACTAAAAATCTATGATCGAAATAAAGAATCCGCTGAATTGCTTATAATTGATATCTGTCTTTGCAAAAAAATAATGAAATAATGGTAAATATACACATTAATTAAACGTATATACAAACAGACAAACATTTATACATTCAACAATGTGTTAACATAATAATAAAGCAAATCGTAATAATATTATTATGCATCACAAAATTTGATCTCACTTTTTAGTAAACACAACCTTGAAGCGCGGTATCTCCAGAACGAAGCTAAATCGATATATATGTAGCTTAATGCGAAAAATTGTTAAAATGGTGAGATCTAAATAAGTCCATTCCTTTAATTATAAATATTAGTGTTTTAATAAAATTGATACATTGTTGATATTTGTTTTTTCATATCCATAAATATAAATATCGAAATTTTAGAGCTCACGACTTGCCTTTGCTTGTAAATTTATATATCTTACATTTACATTACACTGAATACATATGTACATCCTTTTAAGCTTTGTTGTTTCAGTAATTAAATTAAAAAATTTTTTAAAAACTAAATGTTTTAAAGTGCATATATAACACAATTACGATCTCGGGTATTTTCCCGTAATTCTAAATTTAATTTTGTTTTAAACTTCTCTTTCGCAGAATTGTCCAATTTTGCTTATTGTCCATGGTGAAATTTTTTATTTTATTATTATTTCAGTAATTGACCACTTTGCTGAAACAAACCGTATAAGTTTTATAAAAATTAAATAACAAAAATAATGCACCCAATAACAGCCAACAATTTCATTTAATATAAACGTTTGAGATATTTTTTTTTAGCTTTTTCGTTAGTTTTGGTTTTTTTAATAAAAAAAAAATAATAATTCATTCTTCTTCTTGCAATATTCAACACACTATTTGCTACGAGCGGCTTATTTGTTTGATTTTGTGTTACTTCTCTTTTAATAGCTTAAGACAGTATGAGCGCGAGATGAAACTATAAAAGTTAATTGCTTAATTTCTTTTACTAGTTAGTATGTGACACAAGAGTTAATAATATTATTTCTTTTTTTGTCCTACTAACCAATGTAAAAGGCATGTTGTCACTTTTCGCGCTGATTGCGTTTTCAACATAAGTGTGGTGAATGAAAATTTAACACTAAATCTAACGTTTTTTATATGGTTTTTTGCGAAATTATAGATTTTTTCAATTTCGATAATGAACGTAAGTTGCTGTTGTTTACTCCTTTGTTAATAATAACAACATATATGTACATCTTAAAAATTTTAAAACAAATACTATGGCACAGATATTAACATATATTTTATATATATATATGATCGCAGTTTTGAATATTGATTGCATATGTAAACGTAGATAGTTACATAAGTGTGTGTTTTATATACTTATATATATTATATATTTATAATATATATTTAATTGTTTTGAGTAAATATATATAGACTAAGTTGGGTATTTGGTAAACGTCTACGTTTAATTCGATTTTGAAAAAATGTCGCTTAATTAATAATAGCGTTTTCGATTGGTTAATCTGGATTCAATCTTGATTTACCCTCGATCTGTGAAATTTTGTTGCCCAATTGAATATCTTACATTTTTATATTTTTGTGTTAGTAAAGGTTTTTATTTTTCATAAATACATTCATATATGGCATTATATCACATTTAATTTGTCGTCATATAAAACAGCTGTTTATTAAGAGATAATATTATTATTCTAGCAAATAATCTAAAGTATTATAAATTAATCACGAGTGTTATACATTTTGCTAGATATTCACCAAACTTACTAATCGAAAACGGCATAAGTAAACGAACACTATTATGAAACTTTTTTATTATATTTTTATCACAAATAATACATTTAAAGCATAATGTTGTTTACTGCACTATTTTTTAATATTATATTTTTAACATACTATTACATTATTTATTTATAATTAAAATTTTTATATTTATAATCAAGAAAATTATTTTCTATATATAAAGAATAATTTTTCAATGTCATAAAAATATATACAAATTATGAAATCACCCTGTGTTTTCATTTCACCTCTATTGTCCAACAGCTGTTCGCCGCACTACGAATGAGGGAAGATAACAAACGAGAAAAGACAAGCATATATTCAACTTTTGTAGTTTTATTGTGCATAAATAAATGTGCGTCTTATGGTCGTAGTTTTCTGATTTAATGAATATCGGTAGAACATTTAAATACGAAAAAGTGACTTTATGACAAAAATCCTGACAATTCCTACTTAAAAGAGTGTAAGTGTAAATAAATTAATTATTATAAAATAGTCTTAAAAAATAAAATTTAATGGGTTCAGAGGCGACATCAATTCTCACTTCTAACAGGTAGGATTGTTGTTGCACATGCAGTAGAAATAAGGCTTTCTTGAATGGAATTTAGCACGCAAGGGAATGCAGGAGAAATGTTGACTTCATCACACAGCGGCCAAGTGATGAACAAGCAAAATGTTAACATACATATTTTTATTGAAATAAGTTGCTTAGAGCTTCTCTGATTCTAGTCTTACGTTCCAAAAAAAAAAAAAAATTATAGTACATAAATAGTTCAACTTATAATAAGGAACCTCAACATGTCAGACACACGTTAAGGCAATTGCATTATGTTTACGCAAACAATTTGACGAATTGCAAGCACGTGTTTTGTCAGTAATTGTTTAATATTTGTTATTGTTTTTATTAATTTCCAAAAACGCTTATTTTATTAAAATTATATTTTTTTAACAGAATCTTATGAATTTATTTTTTTTTGAAACATGGTATAATATGGTACGCATTATAAATAATTCTAAAGATAAATTGGAAGCCCTGAATATATGTACCTATGTCCAAGAATAGTTTTTCTTATATCTTCCATTCAAAAAGTACTGAATTTTGGCATGAAACTTTGTTAAATTTGTGCAAATAAATGTTATTTTATACGAGAACATTGTTTTATTCTAAAGAAGTACAACATTATTATCACAAGGACCCATCTATAGTCCTTATAGCTCAATAGTTATAAACCATCTATAGTTATAAACTATTCTTGAATGCTTATCATTGTTGTCTTGCACATTATCTACTCATCTAATACTTCATCTATTCATAAAACTGTTTTTTCTTGAATATTTTGAATCGTTATTATCTTACACATTATCTCTTCATCTGATACTTTATCTATTCATCTAGTACTTTATCTATTCATACTAATTATCATGCATATTCAACAGTTTATTAAATGTTTTGAATCATTACTATCTCACACATTATCTATTCGTCTAGTACTTTATCTATTAATAAAACTGTGTCTTGAATATTTTGAATCATTACTATCTCACACATTATTTATTCATCTAGTAGTTTATCTATTCATAAAACAATCTTTTGAATGTTTTGAATTATTGTTGTCTTACACATTATCTATTCATCTAGTAGTTTATCTATTCATAAAAGATTTTATTTTATTTTTGAGTCATGGTTGTCTTACACATTATCTATTCATCTAATATCTATTCATAAAAGAGTTTCTTGAATGTTTTGAATCATTATTGTCTTACACATTATCAATTGACCTAGTAGTTTATCTATTCATACAACAGTTTCTTGAATGTTTTGAATCATTATTATTGTACACATTATCTATTCGTTTAGTAGTTTATCAATTCCTACCAACAGTTTCTTGAATGCTTTGAATCATTATTATTTTACACATAATCTATTCATTTAGTTGTGGGTCTACTTCTTACTGCCATCGTTGCGGTCATTCTTGCGACATAACTTGCAAATCAAATTAAAATTAACCTGTATTATTAATTTTAAAAATTCAATTATTCAATGGATATTGCATTTGCTACGATATCGTGCCATTTTAATCGTATATTCAATACCCTGCCTTGCTTTTCGTAAAATTTAATTTAAATAATCTTCAAAACAATAGACCACATTAATAGATTGTTTACTATTTGTAATTGATGTTTTTATTTTTTAACATTAAACATATTATCATGCTTTCTTACGATGATCTGTTTTTTAGTGATTTTCGTATCAATAATTATTATCATTAAACGTAATTAACATATTTACAAAAAGTATAATTAATAATAATTACAACATTGTAATTGCTTTCAAGTTTCGTCTTTTCTTTTCCAAAAATTTTAAAGCATAACGATAGTTTTGTGTATCAAATATTATTCTATTATATTATTTAGAGTTGAGATTGCTGGTGGGATATTTAACGTATCACCATGGACTGCGTTATCACTTTAATAAAATGGGTCTATCCGAAGAGATGGAGTGTCGGCTCTGCTTAAAAGCAGACGAGACTTCCAGTCACATTCTCTGTGACTTCTCAGCCTTGATCTGGGCCAGGAGCAGGTCACTGGGAGAAGAGCTGCTCTCCCCTTCTGACATTAGAAGGTCCTCAACGGCCGACATTCTGGCTTTATTCGGAAGGTGCAATGTCGTCTGTTCGGTTAGGGTCTGTTGCAGCACAAAAGATCAATCTAGACGCAGTGCTTCACTCCGTTCAGAGCTAGTACCCCGTTCATTCCTATTCCTATTATTCTATAATTCATATTGCTGTTTAAATTTGATTTGAATTTAAGACTCATTAAGTCAAGAAAAACAAGAAAAAGAGAGTTTAAAAAAATGCAATAAAAATTTTACAACAATAATGGTGTTTTCTTATGTACTAAGTCCATTTAGTAATTAGAACATTTTCAATGTCTAATTTAATAACTTTACTATTTCACACAAGCTCATCTTTTATTTAAATTAAGGCTGCATAAATAAAATTATATGGTTGAGGTATCAGTAAGTCATTTAGAGTATTGTCAAAGTAGTGCTCGTAATACAAGTAATAATTTATTTTAATATATAAGTGTATTTTTTTAATTATTCAAAAGTAGGAAATGAAAGTTACTGGTAATAATTTATATAATATTTTTTAATTAGATTTGCATTTTCCAAAATATTTGCTTCAGCAATTTTAAACACGCGCTGCTTTTACAATGCAGCCAATTAATTTAGTTTCCGCCAGTGCCACTGCATTGCTCAACTATCCTTGAAACATTGCAAAAATTTCAAATTATTTTTAATGATTTCATGTGAATGTATCTCAAAAAGGCAAATATAATCCTATTATTTTCGAAGCCAGAATTATGAATTGTTTACTCTGTTTGCTTATGATTTCCAACGTCCAACAGAACTTTAGCAATACCAACAACTCTCAGACAATTGAAAACTTCATACTGTATAAAATTTTAATATGATTAAAATAAAATTTAAAAAGTTTTGTTTCTTTATACATAATAAACTTTCATGCATTACTAATTAATTATTTATTTTTTTTACATGCATGTAAGATTATATAAAACATTTAAAGCTGAAACAGTTAATACTTACTTACTTAGTTGACCGTTACAGACGTAAGTCGTCCTTGATCGTATAAGCCGGGCAAAGTGGTGGATCATTATTCACATTTAATCAGTTTCTGTTTCTGTAAAATATAATTATAAACACGTTACGGTCCCCTTTCTTTAGGATTTTGATCAATTACAAAATCTCCCTCTAAACAGTACTTTAAGCTTCGCCAAAGGTTCTATGTGGTTTTAAACCCTGAGTTTCTACACCATACGATAACACAATGGGTCAATAGGTCTTAGGGTCAATAGCCTAGGGATCGCCGGTATAATCTAACCTACCCTAATCTAGAACTACTTTATATTAAATTAATCCATAACACTAACCCACAAATGTGATTTAATTAATTAGTTTGTTTAGAAATCATGCTAATGACATTGATCCGGATTAGCGAATAAGTAGACAGGTAATGCATATTTTCTGATTTTATTTAGATTACAAAATGCTTGACTCGATTACTCGATATAAAAATTTCTAAATTCGATTTCTAAGTACTCGTTACTTTTTGATCACAAGCTTTATAATAGATATTTTTTCTCGATTGTACGAGTATATAAATAATAGAATAAAGCTTTATATTATATTGTATTATATTAAATATACATAAATAATATGTATACTTATAAAAAAAGGAAAACGATTAGTTCATTATAAAAATTCCATGTAATGTGCTGTTTCCGTAAAGACAACCCATTAAATTTTATTTTACTTGTTAAATTAAATAAAAATTAATAATTAATTTATTACTAAATTTTTTTAATTTTTTGTATTGTTTTGAATATTTTTAATTAATGGTTTTTTGTTTTTATTTTCCATATTGCAGCACGCATTGGGCTAAGCTTTAAATCCATTATAATCACACATATTACATTTTATTTTAGCTATTTAAGTTTATTTATTAAATTTATTGAATTTAAATTTAAACTTTTGATTTTATTTGAGTACTTTGTATAGTTTAGTTATTTGTTTTTAATTATTTAATAACTAAATTTTATTTGATTTTGTAAGACTACTACTAACAGCTGGTATTTTGAAATATAATTTAAAAATATCATATAAAAAAAAAATAATAATTTATACAAAAATAATATATAAATGTATGTGAATGCTTAAACTCAAATATGTATTTTTATTTTATTTTAACTAATGGTTTTATATCATTATTTGGAATTGCTTAATTTAGATTTACTTAAATAATTATTTTTGCACTTAACATTGGTTAATTTGGTTAAAAGTATATTCATTTTGGGCATTGGATCACAAATAAATCATTTTTAATTTTTGTTTTTATATATTTAAAGTTTAATTAACATAAATTTACAGTATACAATTACATTTATTAGTTTACAAATTAAATTAAAAACATTATTAAAAAAGTTGTTATATAAAATATAAATCAGAATTTTAATTGGAATTATAATTATATGTATTAAATAATTAAAAATAGAAATTACTGATTGAAAACAATATATTTTAATTTTAAATTTTAATAAATGTTAATTTTATTTTAATTGGTTTTGTTTTAATTATTTTATTTAATTTTAAATTGGTTTTGTGTTTACTTTAACACAGTGGCGTAGACAGGATTGTGTCAAGCGGGGTTAGTGTTTGTTAAAAAAGTTAAACAATAGTTGCGAAATGTTAAATAAAATGTGGGTCCTAACATTACTCTTATGTGTAAAAATTGGTTTTCCACACTTTGAAGTCCCTTAGATATTTTAATTTAGTATATCTATATTATAAATAAATAAATTGAGATGAATTTTTTAATTTTTTTAAAGTTGTTAATTTTTTTTTGCATATACTAATATATTTATATTTTTGAATGTTTCACATATTTCACATGTTGACAGAACAGATTTATTAAGTTCTTTAACGTATTCGAAACGTCAAGAGACTCTACTGTATCTATTCCTACATATTGCTAAATTAAACGATACAGCGAAATACTTGTTTTTCAAAATTTTCACGAACACTTAAAGTCGGACAATGAAAAAAATTATTAAAAATAATTTTGACAAGATAGCTGTAAAACATTTGCTATATATTAAGACGGAAAATTTATTTAACTTATTTTAAGTTATGTTTTTAGAACAAGAAAGTATGATATATGATGATCATAGAGAGTATCTAGACTAACTATTATATATCTTAATTCCTATTGATGATTTTTTTAAAAATTCATTTTCCGTTTCCTCTTTAATACATTTTGAAATAGAAACAACTAATCTCAAAGATAAACCATTATTTAAGAATTGAGAAATATATCTAATTACTTTTTAGCCAAGCGAAGAAAAAATATAACGCCTAATACTTTTAATCCAGCCCAATATATATAAATATATATCACAACAACAGCTTCATACCAAAAAAATCTAAAACGTTCTTTGTTCGATACATAGATGGCGTTAGGCGTCATGATTTCAGAATTCTGTTATTTTTTTTGTTTTATTTTTTTGTTTTAAGTCATGGGATTACTAAAAAATTACTAGTGCAAGTCAGAATTTTACATAATATTAATACAAGTTCATTTATTTGCATTGATCATCTATTAATTACAAAAGGTTCATTCAAACCCATTCAAACAAACCCTAAGAGCATTTATCTTAATAATTTTTTGATGATCTGATTTTTTTACAGAAAATTGCACCAAATATTATCTGTCATCCCATATCTAGTTATCACAGCACGATCAATATATAAAGCTGTGATTATTAAAAAAAGACATTGACACGTAAGTAATTAAATTTATATATCTGAATAATTAATTTGTGAATAAATAATTCTATACTTTAGTTTATTATTATATTATTTGTGTTTATTTTTATTGTGTTATATTATAAATAAACATTAGGTCAAAACTTTTTGACACAAACTATTAAACAGTTTTTTACATAAATTATATCTTTGGTGGATGGACGTAGGCAAATCTGTGTGCTGTATGGTACTTAACAGGGTGCAGTGTATAACTGAACTCTATATTATTGCTGCGATGAATATTACACTATCCATTACGTTAGACCTAATGCTTCACTCAATGTCGTTTGGTGTTATAAGTAAACAAACGATGTTAATTCATTATCTCTAAGACTTAAGGGTATTTCATAATGCAAGGGTAGTAACTTTTGCCAACGGCTTCATTCTTAATCTTATCAATCCTACTTTAAAAATTATGACTTCATCTCTCGCATTCTTAATTTGGACAGGAAAGTTAATATTGAGTTCCTATCTTGTCGGAAGGTCCCTCATTAGAAGAGGGTTTAACCAGAGTTTGTATTTGCTCACTCATGAGTAGCTCACTAAAAATGATAAATATTTAATTAATTTATAATTTAATTTCCAAAATTTCAAATCTTTTTAAATCTTCTCTCTTAAAAGAATTCAATTCCGCTTTCTATTTTTTAAAGAGGTTTTTTCAAACAAGTACAACAACAAAAATTCATTTTATATTATTTTAATTAATTGAATTTTTGGCTGACCATACAGCCGTTTAGAGTATTGCCAAATACCCATCATCAGTGGTCTTGGAATTATCATTGGTTTTATATATAATTATTCGTAAATAATTTTTTGCGATTGCAAGTACCAGGAATCGAACTCGTGCCCTGCCGAATTTGAAGGTCAGCTGGACTCTGGTTGATTTAAGCGCTTCTTGAACAACTGTTCCAAAACCGTACTTGACTTTTATGTTCGCACATTTTTCTAGAGTTTTGTTCATTTGCTATGAAAGTTTTATTAACAAATTTACTTGCTGTGTTTATATTAGAACGAAATCATAAATCAGCTGTAGAAGAATTGAATTAATTAATTATATTTTTTATTTTTAATTGTTTAATATCAATACTGTTCTGTTTATAGAGGCATTATTTGTTGCATTTATATTTATATATTTTTTCTTATGTATAGAACCTAATCTAGGAACGTAGATTAGGTTCTAAACATAAATAGACATTTCATATTTTTGAAATATGAAAATCAAAAATCAATTGAAATGTTTATTGGTTGCCAAATGGTGTTTACACTTCGGAACGGATTTCCCACGTTCATCAATAAAAATAAAAAAGTAAGACATCATAAATCAAAGGAGATATTCCTGGCACTCTAACGTACTGACGCGGTATTATGCAGTTTTTATAAACAACATTTCGCATTTAAGGACTTGCGCTCATCGCTGCTTTCAGAGCTTTAATTGAATGTTGAAAGCTTTCGCTTCAAATTGAATGTCAAGCAATGCTCTCGGCGCAACTTGCGTCAATCATCAAGAAATTAACAGTAATTGAAACTGCTTGCCAGATTGTCTGCATGCTGAAAGCAGCTTCAATAAATATTGAAGTTGAAAGTCACTAATTCTATGCTTCGTTCAATATTGAAGAACGTTTATTTGATATGAAAGGAGTATTTCCTTTACTTTGAACACAAACAAAAACTTCCATTGTTTTTCATTTATGAGAGCATTTTTATTTATTTATTTGTGTTTTTTTGTAAATTAACCTTTTTTGTGTTTAGTTTATTTAGCTTTTTCTTCTTATGTTATTTTGTGTTTTTTTTGTTTCATTTTTAGTACTGTTTTTTCTATTTTATTTTGTTTTTACATCACGCGTCCCTTTTATTAATTGCTTTTGCTATTGATGTTGCCACTGTAATTGTTTGTTGTTATTGGCTTTGTCACTGTTTTGGTAAGGTTTTATATGTGTTTTGCTGCCACAATGGCTCTCAAGCGCTGTTGTTATCCTTTTTAAGTGTTTTTTTATTTATGCTTTTATTTACGAACTTATATGCATAAATATTTTTGAATTTTTAAGTACAATATCAACAAAATTACGTTACTATGAAAATTTGACACGACTTGTTTAGTATTCCCATTCCACCACAGTCGTTCCTCAAGTATGCAGTTCTTATTATGGTGAACTCAATGAGCAACCCAACCTTCAATATGTTTATAGGATTACTAAAAATACAATACGTTTTAGACAAAATTAGATTTATTTGGTATATAGTTTGCATAGTCTATTCCAAGGGTGTTACATTCTCAACAATGATTCTCTGACATTTCATTGTATTTTCTATAGAACGTATGCAGTTCTTATTATGGTGAACTCAATGAGCAACCCAACGTTCAATATGTTTATAGGATTACTAAAAATACAATAAGTTTTAGACAAAATTAGACTTATTTGGTATATAGTTTGCATAGTCTATTTCAAGGGTGTTACATTCTCAACAATGATTTTCTGACATTTCATTGCATTTTCTATAGATTGATTTACATTTGATCTTAAAACTCCTGTGCGGCAAGAACTGTCCTAGTTCAATTGAAATTAGGATATAGCTGTTACTTGTAACGAATAAACACGTCCATTCCTAATGTGTGCCCAAACTGCAGCACTACCCTCCATGATGTCGCCCATCTGTTCTCTTGTCCCTCTGCACATACTTATCTTAGTCCACATTTAGACTCATCCCCTTGTGGTACTTTGGTTTCTACGGCTGGACTCTGGTTGATTTCAATCATATGTTACCCTTACCCTTCCCGTTTTCCCCTAACACTAACTCCACCCATCGACTTCTCTACTCATGTATGCGTCTTGTAATCCTTACATGTTGTCTGTTTTTCAGATCCCGGCGGGCTCTGACAACAACAGTAACAACAACAACATCTTTCAGCATTTGGATATCTTTTAAAAAATACGATTATCAAGTCCTCTAATATATACTTCAGTTTCCCATTCCACTTCATCATTTCATACAAATCTCTTTCCTTGGAGCCATCTTTTCCAGTTTGGAAACAGGTAATAGTCACTACGAGCCAAATCTAGAGAATACGTTGGGTGAGAAACCAATTCGTACCGTAATTCATTTAATTTTGCCATAGTTTTCATTGGTATGTAAACGGGTGTGTTATCCTGCAAAAAAAATTTTTTTGCTTCGACAAATGTAGTTGTTTTTCCTTGATTTTCTCATTCAATCGATCCAATAATATTCAATAGTAGTCTGATGTTATTTGTTTTTTCCTTTTCCAAATAGTCTATGAAAACTATCCCATTTGAATCCCAAAATAAGAAAGCTAAGACTTTTCCAGGTGATTGTTAAATTCGTGGTGGTTTGGGAGCTCTACTCCCGTACTCTACCCATTTTCTGGCTTGTTGTGTTGAAGAACAACATCTCTCATGTGTGAAGTGATGGATATATGTTTCATCAATTGTCACAATTCGACACTCACAGTCAGCTAGATCGTACATAAACATTTCTAAACAATGTTTTGAATGACGAAGTCGTTGTGGTTTGTTTACCACCCATCTTGTTGAAAGCTTTTTCATACACAATTATTCATGTAAAATAATTCGATACACGTTCATATGATATGTTTATGATATCGGCTAATTCATGCATTTTAATTTTTGTATAATTCCAAAATAAATAAAATAAAAAAACTTTTTGCGTCAGTATATAACAATCTATCAAACTTGGATCTATCATTTCTCTCCAGAATCGAAACGGCAGTCAGTAGTTTCATTCATTAAAACCAGCGTTAAGAAGCCATTATGAACATAAGGTTCTAGCATCATTTTGTCTGTTTCATAGTTTTTGTTTCTGATATAGCGAAATCGCTAACACTTCTGATTAGTAGAATTGCTTGCTCAGCTCTTCTTTCACGATGGACTCAGCGTAATTTGATTATCTTTCTCTACATTAATTTCTGTTCAATTTCCCATTAATTTGTACTAGCAAAAATACGTTGAATAATGTTCTTCAGGGTGGAATATTTTTCTAAAGATGAAGATATTTCTTCTCTTTATTGTACAAATTGAGGGCACTCCACTGAGTAACCGTTACTTAGGCAGATAGGGCAGTATGTCTCATTTCCATATTTAAAGCGATATAAGTACATTCTAAAACAATCATGTCTACTTAGCTGTTGTGTCATGTAGAAACCTATTTCTCCAATTTTATGTGAATTCAATCTCTTTTGAACCGAATGTTAAGCATTTGTTGATATTATATATTACAATAGATAAAGCAGTATCTATCTGATCTTAATTGGTGAACTCTGTAATATTTGTGTCCATAAATCTAGAAAATAGCTTATGCAGTACCCTCTGCTCAAAAAGTATCCGGATTTTGTTGTTTGTTAACTACTCCTTAAGTAATAGACCTTTTTCAAATTTGTTTTGTTATGTTGGTACACCCTTTCTTGACATATGGTACAAATTTGAGCGCAATCTGTCAATTAGTTTGTTTACAACAGCTGTTAACGTGAGACTACCTCAAGTGCATTTAGTGATTTTTACTATGAAAAATTCTTGTTGTACGCGATCTTTTGACCAAACACGGTACCACTGTCATCGCTCAGGCACCATTTTCGCCAGATCTGGATCCGTACGACTTTTTCCTGTTCCTGAAACTCAAATTGCTCCTTCGTGGTAAGCGTTTTGAGTCGATTGAATCGGTAAAAGAAAATTCGCTGAAGGAACTAAAAGCCATATCTTCACGGGCCTACGAAAAGTGTATGGAAGATTGGGTTAAGCGTTGGCATATGTGTATCTCTTCAGAAGGAGCATATTTTGAAGAAGATAAAATAAATTTGGATTAAAATTTAAATTTGTGTGTTTTATTTACAAAATTCGGATACTTTTTGAGCAGAAGGTATACAATATGTAATATTCATAATTCGATATTTCTATATTTCTTATTTATAGTACTTGAATAACAATATGAACACTTTCTTAGGTGATT